TTTTTATTGGCCGCAGATTATTAGGGTTGCCATCGTACAGAAGTATAACTCGCATTTTTATTTCTTTTACTAAAATTTATGTACAACCGGTGCCTCGAAGAGAGGTTAAAAGAAGCAGTTTTAAATAAAAAGCATGTTCAAAGTTATAGGACGCCGCCAGAGGCAGAGTAGCCTAACTGCATTTTTTTATGACTTAGCTTATTTTTATCTTCATAGTCTAAAAATGTTACTCTACATAAGGGCACAGTGACCGAAAATTGTAAACATAATTCTTACTGAAATGCATGTTTTTTGTTATTAGGCCAGTTCTACTTCTATATCTGGTGCTTAATTATGAAATATCTGCGACATGTATGTTTTATTTTCGCATCTGCCCCAATATTTAAAGGAAAGTAACTTATTTATATATTCGTAATTTATAATTTTCATTACACGAACCATTAAGAACTGCAACCTTGCAGCGTCGGAGGTGCACTAACTACTAATAATATGAAGTTAAGTTGAAATAAAAGCACGATACTCTTTGACAACCTCCGAACTTCTTGATTTTAATCAGAGGAGTGTAGTTAACAGTAACTTAGGTCCATCTTCATAAATCCACTTTCCGAAATGCCTAAATTGGCTCTGCCCCCAAGACATCGACAATAGACGTCTAGCGGACTTCCGCCTGCACGCTCCATAGACAAGGGTCCGACCTCATCCGGGACCACTCTAGCAGAAATCATTTTATGTGACGCTATTTACATATTGTCAATTTTATGGGGCTGGCTTTTATCTGTTGACGTAATGGCCTTTATTTATTGCTATTAATGAGTAAGTGGAAGAAATCTCATACATTTTTTTTTCATCTATGTGTTTATTAACTTTTTTGAAGTTTAGTATGTACACAATATAAATTATTAACTTAAAGTAGTATAACAATTTTGTACACCCCTAGCTAGTTAAGCTACTGTGGCCACAGTTTTTGTCGTATATTGTGACACAAAAACAGTTGCGAATCACAATGGCCGTGGAGAGCGCAGATGTGTTTGATCCTATTATTTTACGCTTTTGTTTGTTTGAGTGTGCACAGAGTGTGGTCGAGTGTATTTCGAGAGAGAGTATTGGTCGAGAGTTATTCGATATTTAATTTAAACAGGTTTATTAAAACAAGTATATATTAAAATAGTCGTTTTATTGAAAACTGGTTGTATTGGACTAATGAACTGCTGAGGAATGGGAATATCTTTTTTGTAAACCCATAAAAATAATTAATTACTTAAAAATTATGTTATTTATTCTTCCGATTAAAATTAGGTAGTCAGTATAAGCCGCTAGAGGCAGAGTAGTCTAACTGCAATTTTTGTTTATATTTTTATAGTAAAAAAATGTTAATCTACAAGAGCACAGTGACCGAAAATTGTTAACATAATTCTTACACAAATATATTAAATTAATTATTAATTGCGCATTTTATTTTCCTCCTAATTGAAAATGATCATTTTTGTACTTCGGCCACAGTTTATTTATTAAACTTTTGTCCAATAACATTTGAACGGCTGACAGACAAGCAGTATATAAGTAGTATACAAAAGCCCATTCAAGTAATTTTCATCTAAATAATAAAATAGAAATCAGTAATGACACTGACATGGGAAACCAAACAATCGATAAGTCTTTCACCTCGTCTTATTTGCTTTATAACGGCCGGCCAGTGACAATGAAGAGATATACATACAAATTGACAAACTTGTATGAATTGTAATTGGACACGCGTCCTACCCGGCGACCGCTAATCTCTACGCAAATAGAGGGTACTCGTTAAGGATTAATATGTGGAGAGTGTGGCCATGAGTTTTAATAAAATCGTTCTCTATTCATACGAGCTATTAAAATAAAAAAAGGTAGCTTCAGATAAATATTTTTATTGCGATGTGCGAAATAAAACTGCATGTCGTTGTTGTGATAACTTTATATACTTACATACAATTATATCCTCAATTGAAATATTTATAAATTTGTATTTGGTTATCAAAAAAAGAATGTAATTACAATTTACATTCGATTGTTATATAACTCTACCATACAGTACCAACAAATTCAACCTCTGTTTTCATATATACTTGTATTTTACCGTCAATTTAACACATTCATTCCCTGCCTTGCTGTAAATACTGAAGTGATACTTAAAACAGTAAACTAATTTTGTTACCACAATACATTTACCTTTAATAGCATCTATACAGTACCAGTACCAGTAGATTTACCTTTTACCAATACCTTTGACGCAATGTAATTTCAAAATAAAGTATAAAGTTTCTGAATACTCTTGCGTCACCTCTCGAAAAGTGTCCCATTAAATCCATAGACGATAGCCACCGCCGGTAGCCGAAGGGCTGTCGAGGGTGAATACATTATTACTCGATTGTCATACAATCTATTTGAACGGTTCGGTGGTTTTTATCTGTCGCTGCTCAGATAGGGTCTGGGACCAGAGTGTAATCAATCCTGTTAGGGTTGTCACTTACTTCTTCGTTTGAGAAAAAAATAATTAAAATAAACCGCTAAAACAATAATTAACTCAAACTCAACGCAAAATTTGTTTCAAATACGTGACGAAATCGGAGCGACATTATAAATTGAAAACTATATGTCAGTAATTTAAGCCCTAGGGGATTCTAGATTATTAAATGATGCATACTTTACATATAAATTGAGTGTTCTCCCTTGATAGTATATTACCGTCGAAACTTTCACCCTTTGAATATTAATACATTACCTAGTTTGAATACTATACTCGATTACTCTGCGGCTTAGGGCTGCTCGCTAACGAGCCAAACTTGTTTAAATAATTACACCAAATTACCTGCACTTTTCTAGGACGGCCAGACAGAGGGCGACAGCCGAAACGGTCTTTATTTAAATACTCATTTTTATATTTCAAATAGCTTTTTTACTTTTTACCGCGCATTGTCTGTTACCCTAAATATACTCTGCGTCGTACGTCTCAATGCCCCGGGGAAAATTTCCCTAATGATTATCTAACCCCATATAAGTTACTCAATGATACCACTCTGAACAACCCTCGTAATTAGGGGTGTGCTCGAGATTAAAGATGAGGATACTTTAGCGAGATTTTACAAGTATTAATAACTACTTTTCATTAAATACAATTATGATTTACGGTCCAAAATGTAAAAGACTACGTAAATACTATATGTTCAAAAGATACAACTACTTTTAATTTATAAAATAGTTGCTGTTATAGTAAAATGATTGAAAAATATATTATTCCAAAAGCTTGTCACCTATTAAATAATCGAATGTACCGACATCTTCAAAAATACTTTCTTTCAATGGAGTACAAACAAACCAATTTGTATAATGCCCTCACATAAAAATTACAATCAAACGAAATTCCCCCGAGTGCCGTAATTGTGATATATCTTTAGAACAATTTGCTTTGTGGTAGCCCTCGTCAAAATTGGCAAGGGTCGCCACTCAAAGGAATAGTTGACGATTTATTTTCATAAAATAACGAATGCCATAGAAAATATTTTATAACAAAGTCTAGAAAGCTGTTCTCTAGTGCATCAATAAAAAGTGGTCTTAAATAAGTATAAATTAGAACATTTAATGGCTTACACGATGCGATTATTTCCACGTGTACATTTAGAATAAAAACTTTTTAACAAATTTTTAAATTCACTTATTCGTCAAGTAAACGCCGAGAAAACTATAAACGTGCTCATATGTATAATATAAATATTTCATCACATAGAACATGATAACTTCAATTTGGTAAATAGAAAACAGCACAGGGAAAACTAAGGAGTCGTTTTATCATATATAATTAGATACACATAATTACACGAAATAATACTATTCTGAGAAAGTATAAATTTTTTGACTGCGATAAATACGAACAACATCTTCGGCTTCACAAAAGTAAGAGAGACATAATAACATAGGAGTATAATACATATTTAGAAATATATTTAATCCTCTATGGCATTGCCAAAGTCCAGACTTGTAGAAAAAGTCACATGATAGAATGAAAATGAGAGATTATCCTCTCCACATATTGTTCTGTCCCATATAAAGTTGATTGCATGAAGTCATACTGGCGGCGTAGGTCAATTGTCTCGTCTCTCTTATTAGGTTTCCAACATTTCGATCACACATTGAATAATGTTATCTATAGACGCCCAATATTTACCCGGGTTTGGGGGAATTCGAGTAAAATGAACTTGAATAAAATTGCATAAGCCATTAATTAAAAATATCAAAGGCAACAATTACAAAGAAGCTTTCCACTATTGTGAATACCAGCGCTCCTACCGGCTATCGCGAAATAATTCCAGGACCGCTTTGTACCGGAATAACCGGATTGCACTGGTTCGATCCGGCTGCTCAGCTACTGAGCCGGATAATTTATCGGTTTAGAATTTAAATGGCATTCGTTTGAAACCGATTTCAGCAATGCATGTGCGAGTCTTAATACGAAACTAATTTAAACGTGTGGAAACGCGATTTATATATTTATATGCAACAAAAACCCCTCCCTACGTTATTGATTCATTGAGACAGTTTTCTTTGTCTCTTTGGCAGTATTGACTTAAATTTGTTGTGATTATAACGGCCGCTAGTGTTTTAAAATCCTGTCTAATTTTTAAGTGTATGTAAAAAAATATATACTTTAAAAAAATACTCGTAGTTAATTCTTAAAAATAGGAACCAAGTGTACGTTTAAAGGCATGCTTTCTTAGCATAAAAGCAATCTCGCATTGTTCCCCAGAATCTAGGTGGAATGGAATCTAGACTTGTGCAATACTGAATAACTCTGAACTTCTCACCTGACTGACCTAAAATAAAACGGTTAACACTTTAGCGATAAAAATCCTTTCATAGAACTCTAACGTATGGCTGCTTTTAAAAGAAAAATCGGCCCTTAGATTTCATAAATCTACAATTCTACGGATCTTGTTTCTTTAGTTGATAATATTTTTTCTTTATTCCAGGTCAAACTGTAGAGATCACCCCCAAACAGGCTGTGCGACGAGTAGGAGATGACTTGACTGTTCTCTGCAAAGTTCCGTACCCAATTGATTCTTGCCGGTAAGTGGTCTCGGTGTGTTATCTGTAAAAGCATTTGGGTTAACAAAATTTATCTTTGTACAACCACGAAAGGGATAAGTTGACAATAAAGTATTTTTTGCACATAATGTTATTTTAATTAGTTTAACATACTTTATTATAAGTTATCAGCTATAACTATTCGTTCTAAACGATTTCAGGATGACAGTCGGTTCCACCCCGTACAGACTGATCCCGAGCAACCAGGACGAAGATGTGGTCTATTCGGGCCAGGGCCTGCAGGTAAATCGTAGTTCTAGTGCACCTTCACCTCACCACCCAGATAAAGATACTGGATTATTTGAAGCTTACCAACAGGACTCAATCTATAAAACATTCGATATTTTTGATGAATGATGAAGTAATGGTAAAATTTTTGGCCAGCTTTCTCGTTCGTTTTACGCTTTCGATTTGAAAACTTAGTAGTCAAAGTGAATATAAAAAGACACAAATACTCAGTTACATAAATTTATGTATTACTTTACTTTAGCATTTGTCGCTAATAAGGCAAAGAGATTTTGTGAAACCATCGAGTTAAACAAAAAAATGCCTAAACAATGTCGAGAAATTTTCAACATTCATTTGTACTCGTAACCCTTTTTGCACGAAACCTTTGAACTATTCCAGTTCGGCGAGTGCGGCGCGCATATAAAGCACATAAAGGAGGAATGGAACGGGAACATTTCGTGTATGCTGCCTCCGCAGAGCGGCAGCATCGAAGTCACGGGCACCATGAGGCTGGTCGTCGCTAGTGAGTTGCCAACCTATTCATTCACAGTCGCAGCCCTCTTACAATTTCACGGTTTTTTTCCGATAGACCACAATCAACATCCCACTTGATGATTGGTGGAATTTCGTTACACATGACCCGGGTCGCTATTTTATTAGACCGCTAAGTGTGGTCTAGATTATTTTCCCGGGAAAACAACATAATCCAGCTACTTGCCTATAAATAAATAGGATTAGTAAAACCGGGTACAACATATGGCTGCCCTCATAGAAGGATCGGGATTTCATTTCTATGTACCTTCTTTTTAAAAATAAATCTTCAATTAAACTTTGTGCGGGAATTACCGATGATACATATTATTATTTATAAGTAAAATGTAAACAACATCTGAAGTGCTTATAAAAAGTACTGTTGTTTGCAAAGTGCTAGAGGCACTTGCACAATGATCGACGTACTTTCATAATTGAACCTAATGATAGGTAAATAAAAACTTTTCTGATCAGTGCATAACTTCTTCCAGAGCCCCCAGCGAACCCTCAATTGATCTCACCCCCTCAGTCCAACTTCAAAGAAGGAGACATCTTCATGGCGCAGTGTGTCGTGCCCAATGGACGACCTGCAGCCAGGATTACCTGGTTTTTGGGTAAGTGTCGTTTAGCTGGAAATATTCTGCGACAAAAACTAAGCAAAATATAATAAAATTGATTAGGTACTAAATTACTACCTCATTAACACAGATGATGACCAATTCCTAACTGGAGTACACCAACCCATAATATCTTCGGAACCCGGCATCGATCTTGAGACAATCAGCCAGAACATCACCAAGGAGCTATCTGCTGATGATAACGGCAAGCGTCTGGTCTGCAGAGCGGAGCATGAAGCCCTGGACAGCCCCAAAGATGCAGCTAGGCAGCTCGTTGTGTACTGTAAGTATTGCATTTTACTTTGAATAAAGGAGATATGTTTGACTCATTGTTTACTTTTAAAAGTAAGATTAAATCTTACCTAAAAACTGTTTATGGTTGACATAGTAATTTTTTTCGTATTGTATAATGTGAATAAGCTACGAAATGTGTTTTATTCTGCTTTTTCAGTTAAATATAAATTAATATAATATATTATGTTCCTTAAATCATTATTTACAATTAGAATTAAAGTTAATAATTATCTGGTATATGTATCCAATTATACTAATTAATAAATAAAAAAAATATTTCAACGTGGTCTACCACACATACATACTTGCTCCACTGCAGAATGTACACTGTAACAACTTTTATGATCTACCTGTTCGATCAATCCAGGAGACAAATCGTTTCTGCCAGGGCTAAGAAGTGTTGATATGCCACATTGTATTTAATCTTTCACCTTCTAGATCCACCAAAACGCACCGAAAGCGGTCCAATCACGATCTTCGGCCTCAAGATCGGGTCGGAGGGACGTCTGAACGTGACGGTGAGGTCCAACCCACCTCCAGAAGCCCAATGGACCGTAGGAGACTTGGTAATCACTGCTCCCCAGAAGAACGAAGAATCCACTATTACTGCGCTCGAGCCATTACACCTGGTAAATATTTATTTCAGTCTATTAATTTTGTCAGTAAGACCTATCCCACGATCAAAGAAAATCAAAGTACAGGGGCATGCAGTGGTCAATGGCCCTTTTTACTTTTAATTTCATAATTATGAGAAAAGTCCGGACACATCTTTTATTACATATAAATATTGCCTGCAACCGTGGCGCCATCTATATTCCACTTAGTTTGACTAACACATGCTAATATAAGATTTAAGGAAATGGATCCATGATCTGATAAATAAATTATTATTATTATTAGTTAATTGTGAGCTTATAAAAAATATTAGAATCGTTAACTTCAAACCGAATTGGAACTGCTTTGCTAAGTAAAAATTGTTTATTTTCAGGGTGGCGGCTACTACAACATCACCTTAGTCCTAACAGCTGTGGCTAAAGAGGATGTAGACAGGACATACTATCTTCGAGTGACCAATGATCTTGGAAGAGAAGAGTTTTCCTTGAGACTGAGCACCATGGACGAACCTGCAGGTATACTTCAGATTCTGTTAAAGTTTTTAAGGTTGCTAATTAATATTGATGACTATTATATTAATTCAAAACTGAGTCTTCAAGATTTACACACTAAGTTCAAAAAGCCAGTCAGTAAAGGTGTTAAGATTTGAGTAAAAATTCGTAAAAAATGTAATGTCAATTTAAGAACTTCCTTCACACATACAAAACATTTTAAAGGATTTGATGATGGTTAAAATGTTGCTCTGAAGCCAAAAAATTAATCAACATTTATTCGACAGCACGCAAAGCAATCACTTCGTTCCTTATTTTCGATATTTATGGTAAGGAAAAATTAAGGTACATGCGATTTGGAAGTTGCATTTTGAAATGCATGAAAAAATTGATCTTTTTTGCTGAAAATCTGCTTTGTTGACATTTTTTCGATTATTATTAAGGTGTATTAATCGTTCTTAATTTACAATTATTTTCTATGTTTTAAATAAAACACTTTACCGTTTTAAACGCGAAATTTATATGTTAACTGACTCACTCTATCCTCTCTTTCTATAAGGCCCCACCGATATCTGCAAGTACCAACTACGACGAAACAGATGGCGTTAGTGTACTTGAGTCCCCCCCGTAACCCAGTCGAGCATGTAGTAAAAATAAGTTATATAGTTTTGGCGTTTCAAACTGTGAAGTGTTTTATTTAAATGTGCACTACTCGCGTAAACTACAGACAATACTTATATCTTTCATTCAAAACATTACAAGAAAAAAAAAGATCTTATAGATTTGGCATTGTACGTTACGCTTAACTTTGTTTATTTATATTTTTTAAATGTAATGTTTTAAATTCTATTTGAACGTGGCTTTCTTTTGACGAAAAATCTAAGTAGACATAGAATGTTTTTACAGTGAAATTTTTAAAAAGCTCAAAGGAATGAACTCGCTTCGTGTTTTGCCTTGAAATGTAGTTAGATTTGTTGTTAGTGACGAAGCAATTAGGGTTAAAATACATATGTGGAAGTTTCTTTGCAAAGACAGGATTCAAACATACTACAGTTCCTATACTTATGCATCTTAATGTTTTATTACAAAACAAAACTTACCACTTAAACGATTTGAAGATAACTTTTACTGTGTTCTCATTTTTCACTTCCTTCACCGGTTCCTAAAACTCAAATCTTTCTAGGCGTCGAACTAAGCCCTGGAGCGATCGCTGGAATCATTGTGGGCGTCTTGTTAGTCATCATTGTCGTCTCTCTGACCGTCTACGCGAAGGCCACTGACAAATGGTGTTTTGAAGGTAAGTCTTACTTTTATTCTAGATAGATCTAGATAGGTTAGATAATGTGTTTGTGAGGGTACACACAGTATTATCAAAACATTACTTGACTCGTAAAATGTTACCTCATGACTATCATACGTAGATGTTACTTTGCTTAATTTAAATACAAATAAATTGAATATATTCCTCATTTATAATAATTTAAGCAAGAGTAATATCTTCATTCATTACGTGAAACGTTGACAAAACTTATTTGCATGCTCCTAGTATACTGTTCATGCATATTGCATATGCATGCCGTTGGTAAAAAAGCTCGGGATTCCTGTCAAACCATTCGCATGCGCAAAACATATGCTACTTTTTCATGCGTCATGTAAGTGTAAAGTATTCGTATAAGCACGGACTTCCAAAGTCATTTCATTTTTACAATTGCTTAGAAAGTATGATGCCTGAAAAATCTGCATTTAAGGGTAAGTAAGGAAAGCAAAAGTTTTGTCCAAGTTTTGGCCTATCGCTTCATATGCAGCATATACAAATATTTTCGTTTAAACGGCTTCAATGAAAATAGGATATAGCTCTGATTCTTTAGAATTGATCGGTTTTCGCAAATGGCATTGTTTTATTTCACTTTCAAGCGTTAAAAAATAATTTGTCTATTTATAGAAGTAGAATAGCTACGTATCTTAATTATAATATAGATGTTAGATTGACACCCTATTGTTAGTTATCGATGTTTTAACTAGTTATGTTTTCAATATGTTTAAATCTGAAAAAAACAATGAAATTACTGAGTTGGAAAGAGATTGACTCGAAAGAATGGAATAGTCATCCAGGCAGAGACGGATATTATGTTTTTATTATCTCTGTCTGGACTATAAAGAATGAGAGAGATAAAACGAGTGTGCGGGCAGGTCTTTTTCTCTATTTTGATGGGTACTCGTTACTCGTTGTGGCAAGACAGAGATAGTTGTAGCCGCACATTCGCTTTCTCTCTCTAAAGTGTGGCAATTATAGAAATCTATATCTTCATGTATTTTCAAAAGTCTATGATTGGAATGAATTATTTATATGTGAAGTAATATGTGTTGGATACCTACGATGTGCGATCAAGAACTTAAAGGAAAATTGGCATGACAGTAAAACTTAGTATTGCATGGGAATAGATCTCTATTTTAAAATATGTAGTGTACTTTCTCTTCGAATGTTTGCATGATGCATGCTCCTCTAGAAGGACGTGGGAGCTAAAGAGATCAAAAGGAAACTATTTAACTAGTGAAGGTGCTGGATTGAGTTTACACGAATCTAAACTAAAATTCTCTGATTTCTATATAGTCAAACATATCACAATTTTTGGTGCTTGGTCTTGTAGTTTGAATTGAGTAACCAGTGGTACTTTCTTTGAATCGAAATAGAGTTGGAGTGGATATAGACGTAATAAAAATATATATTATATTATTTTACTCTACCAACCGCCAATTCATATGAACTTTTAATTCACCACACATACTCACAAATCATTTATGGTAAACTGTCACTTTGACAGATCTAATTCGGTTGAAGGCTGTCAAAAAGAATCAACTCTCGTACCTACTCCGAGTGCGTAGTCGTAAAACACTAACCGTAATATAAATATTGTAGAAGGCTGGTGGAGTTCTTGATCGCTTATTGTATTGGTATGTGGCAGGACGGTCGCACCGCACTGATATCCCAGACGGGGCGGATTCCGAGGCCCCGTTGCCCCCGCACGACGACGTCAAGGGATCTGAGAACCCCACGCACGAGCACGGGGATTTCATCAGTAACGGAGACACGAAACACCCCGAAAAGAAACCGGATACCGCGGTCTAAGCTTGTAAGTCGGAGCTGTCACTGTCAACCTCAACGTGACACGTCGATTTTGACAAGTTAACTCGTGTCACACCGCGACTCAACATTTTGCTCGATTTCAAATTTTATTGTCCACCAATGTTGTGGATAAGGTTTGAGGGCCGATTAGGGCTTTCGTGTATTTGGCACGCTGAAATATTTTGAAATTAGTCTAAAAATATATTGACAAGTTACACAATCGCATATGTAATGTTGCTTTTATTTACATTTCTATAAACTTAATGTCTAATAAGCGAGTGCATTTGTTTATCAGATGTTACACTGTAGTTAGTTAACGATTTACTATGTATAAAAAACATATTATTACATTGAGTTACTAGTAAAGTGAAGAAATAAAATGTAATTATAAGGTCTTAGGAAAAAGCGTTTAGCTTTTATCAAGGCAAATGGGTTTCGTTGACAGTCCCTTATTCATAAGTATTAATAAGTGACAGCTTTCGAGTTTTAAAATATGTGCCACCTTAAGTATTAATATACACAATATAAAAGTGATGCAGGGTTAATTTTAATATGACATTTTTTTACATTTAACTTAACTTAACTCGTCACGACGTGAATACATTTCGCCAATATTAAAATTCACTCTGTATTTTAGCACTTAGCTCCTAGGAACCTAGTTAGACGTCTTGAAATGTTTTATAAATATGTATACAATCCAAATGACATTACTTACGTGAAAATCATCTTTTTTATACGTGCGTGTTATCTCTGATTAATTTTTATAGCTATAAAAATTATTCTTAGTTTCTGTATACTAAAACGATTAGTTACTATTACTTATTCACCATGAGGTAATTCAATAAACGATCTTACGTGTGTTCTTGCCTCCTTCCAAATTATCTCCTAACAACTAACGATATCCATCCTCCTCCTCGTGTACTGGTAGCAGAGACGTCGACTTTCATATATTAAGTTTCAAATGTCAACGAGAGGATAGAGGATTGTTTGGCCACTCCATTGTCCAACACTTCTTCTTCTTCTTAGCCATGCCGTGTTCTTCAACCTGCACATGAAGTATTGAGCGAATCCTAATCAGCTAACGTACTTACGTAACCTTCCGTTTAATGCGTCTTCATCCATAGCAGCCGTCGTAGTTTTATCAAAAATTGTTAAGATTTTCCCTGTAAACACCTCGCTATTCAAAATTTCATCACATTCTGCACTTGTGTTTTGCGTATTGCACAGTCATAGCTTTTTAGTTAGTAATGAAGGTTAAAATATACTATTAATATTCAGTAAGCTCCACTCGCTTTTTGAGTTTTGGATGTCTCGCTAAGAGTTCCTTGCTAGAACATAACATCAAAAAAATATATATTTGACTCCTCCGCGGTTTATTTTTAGCAGATATTATAACAATGTCTGTTTCGTTGCAGGGTAAAATGCAGAAAGCAGTTAGGTTTGTCCCAGAGACCACAGCTGTCCCCACGTGACAATTTTGATTTAGACTAACCCTTTCAAAAAAATAATAATTATAAGTAATTATTCAAGGTTACAATGTGTAATGATATCATTTTTGAAAACTACCACTAAAAAGCCTAATTGTTTTAATCATTGCCATTTACCAAACCCAATATCAGTTGTTTAGTCTCTGTCTACATATCGACTAATTTTTTAACAAATTGAGCTTAGGGTAATAGTTTGGATATATCTATCTATATTTTATATAATTCTCGCATGAAAATTCTCTTATCGGTCCTTCGAGCCAGATACGCCACTCGTATAAGATAAAAAGCCACTACGAACCTCGAAAAGAGTATATAATGCTTGATATGTCACTTTTAATCCGTAATTTACTACGAAGTGCTGTAAATCGTGAAAAATAACATTAGGAAAATGATTTTCACGAAATTTTGTTGTTAAGTGTAACAATTTTTACAGTAAATTTTGATGGTAACAGCCGATACTATATATTTATATTTCGATATATTTTGATCGTAAGACTCTATCTTATGGCCTTTATTGGTAAAATATTATTTTTTATTTAATCTGATTAAGTTGCTGTTACTAAAAGACTCCTTCTCTTAGTTAAATAAACTTTTAGAGCATTAATGCTCTAAAAGTTTATTTGTACCAATCGTCTTGCTAGTAGAGGGCGACTTTTTGGACAAGATCAATACTTTTCACGTTGCATTATTTAAAATTTTAACAGTCTCATAGGGTATTTATGTATCACTAATTGTAATACGAAATAAAGAATCTCAATTTAAGTGTTGTGACGTTACATCGAAAAAAAAACCAGAATTAAACGAATAGAAAATACATATTACTGTAGTGGAAATAGTAATTTGGAAAATTTAATTAAACGGCTATCGATAACTTGTAATTAGCGTATTTAAAGTTGTTTTCTACTTAAGTTATATTTGAATGTTCAACTTACACTACATATTATGTAAGATAGAAATGTCGTCAGAAGTATTTTAGTTATAACAATACAGAATGTATCGTTTATTTTGCATACCTATGATTGTTTAAATTTAGAGGTTTACTTTTGAAAATAGAATATATTATTTTAAAGCGCATCCTGATCGAGATTTAAGAGTTTTTCTTGTACGACACGCGCAAAAAATTAATAACTAATCTTAATCCAATCCAAATACCCTGTCTCGGGTTTTAAACCTTCTATCCCTCAATTTTAGTATCGAAAAGAAACCGATTACAGATAATGTTATTAATTTTGGGCGCGAAGAGACTACTTATTAAGCAAAAGGCTACACTTAACACTTTACACACACATTAAACGCCAATGACAACGATCTCTTGTGAAATCAAATTGTCAGTTTTGGAAGCACTCACTTTCAAACAAACAGGACGCAATCCGCGATTGATATATTATTTTGTATATAACTTGTAATAGTATTAAAGGCTTACTTAAATTAATTTTAAGGTTAGCTTGTTTTGTAATGTTTAATATGTGATTTGACGATTTTACAATATTTGAGACGAGTTTTACTATTGTACAATTTATAAATTAAGTTGCTCAAACACAATCTTCGAATCAACTACTGTATACTCGTACATCTAAGCCGTTTTGATATGTAAAGATGACTTACATTATTAGGACACTTGGAATTCGGTGTTTTCTTAAATAGACGTTTTTATTTTTTTATGAATTCTAACGATGTCGATGACCCTAAACACTGCCATTTTTTAAAACCAAAAACTACGAACATCTAATTGAATTTTAGTACGCAATGCCATATCATCAGATTTTTACAATTTGAAAATTTAAATCAATTTAAAGCGTTTGAGCTCTATATATCTAGATCGATTTTAATGAAATTCTGATTGTGTATAGTAGTTATTCAATAAAAGTATTTATTAAATAAGCATACTTTGTTTTATTGGTGTCGCATCGCTTTCGAAGGGAAGTCCTCATTATAGCTTAAACAGAATGGAATTTAACGATTTCCACATGTTTTGAAACCCACTATATTACAATGTGGAAAACATTAAATCATTCTCATTCGTAAATACGAGATTTGCAATTTTACTCGAGGTAGAAATCGAAATAGCTTATTAAAAGCGTGCTAAACGGTAGCATAAACGTCCCTAATTACCTTTTCACTAACAGACGTATTCAGAGCCCACGCAGATGATCAAATATTAGCGATATAAATACATATACATATAAGACGCATACTAGATACCTATTGAAAAATATTTGAACGCAATTATTACAAATCGTTAGGTAACTCGGGCATCCTATTTTTATGGAGGTTCAAGTCATTAAAACAAAATATAAGTTAGCTTTTGTACATTTGTTGCTTAGTGGCAAAAAACATTGTTTTCAAAAAACCGTGAAAAGATTCCGATCAGAATACCTAATTGCTAGAGCTCGAGCAAGGAACTCTGGTCTCATAATACATTTTCTTCTCTGAACAAACGCATTTAATACGATAATTATCCTTCATTATACGTAAGCACGTTGGTAGTGTTTATTTATGTTGACAAACACAGGTGTGGGGCAAAGACCTTCATTTTAATAAGGCTCCTACGCTTAATATTAACATTCCTCAATATTTATTTCATTGTGGAAATATTTTATATTTTCTTACAACGAACGTTTAAATTTACATATAACCTTGTAATAAAATCAATAATAATAATAAAAATCGTAGGCGTTTTAAAATACTTCCAAAAATGACGTTCTCAATTCGATTTGTATATTTTTCGTTTGAAGTTTTAATGAAATGAAATTTCGAAAATTTTCATGCAGATCTTTCTAATGGATTCCAAAAATCTAGACATCTCTACAAATATGGATACAGGCAAAATGAACTTACGTATCGTATTTTTCAGATGCCGAGAGTCCCGATAACGCGAAAAGCTCTGGAGAATCGTGAGTACAATTTTTATTCTTGCTTTAGTTTTAGTTTGCTTTACAACCTCCGTCAACTTCGGTACATACAAATCTGATCTTATTTTCATCTGAAAACATTAAGATCTCGGTTGTGAAACAAGACTTAACTCAGTTGTGATTAACCCTTGGTTATATAGGTAAATAAATCAGAAAAGATGATCTCACGGATGGGTGAAGGGTTGAAATATTTTGCCTCGTTGCTACCTAGAAATATGCAATTTTCCGTTGAATACAATGAATTAATGAATGAAAATGATTAAAACAAACCACAAGAAAAATATCTTGTATATCGGCTGTCCCACCGATCGAAATCTATATGAGAATTATTATTTTTTGAAACTGTTTTCAATAAGAAATTTAACTAAATGCAGTTCTAATTGTAAAAATCTAGAGTAAAATGTCCCTGCTTATTGCGTAAATGTGGGACGTTCTTTATTACTAGGTTTTACTTTTTAGAAGTTAACCGGCGGTAGTTAAAACGCGACATTTTAGGATTTAGGAATAATGCCCTATATTGCAATTTTCCAAGAGAAAATGTACAGTTTAAAAGGAACACTCGATAACTTAACAATAAAACGGGCTACTGTTAATAGGCTAAGTAGAATGATAGAATAAGGGGGTTTTTTAATTTCGCTTTGTATTTAGCTTTTTTGTCATAAGGGCGGCGGCTGGGGATGTGCTTTTACAGACAGGAAACCCGCTACCCCCCAAAATGTAGGTATATTTTTTTTATGCTTACGGTGGCCAAGAGCAATTTATGCTGTAAAAAATAAAATTAAACCTCTGGCCCTAACAAATCTATGCATGGCGACTTACACTTTGCTACTTAGAAGTCCTATGAGACGCTTTGTCTTATACCAATGTCAATAGCTTCCATCATAATTGAGAAATGATTCTTGACGTTTCAGTCTTCGTCCACAAAATGTTCTACCTGATGGCATCCAGTTATAGGCAAACATCGAGAACCATTTTTCAGTTACGAATATAACCGTCAAAGCTTTATACAAGTCATCAACAATTTAATTTAACTGCAATTCAACACAAATGCTTTGTTTTAAACGAGACCATGTTATATGAGGCACCTCGGGCCGGAGTGACCTAACTGCAACTAGACTTATTTATATTTTCATAGTCTAAAAATGTTAATCTACAAGAGCACAGTGATCGAAAATTGGTAACATATTTTTTACACAAATAGTACAAGTTCCTTTTCACCTAAGTTAATTGCGCATTTGTATTTCCCTCCATATTGGAAATCATTTTTTTGTTATTAGGCCACTCTGCCTCTAGCAGCCTCATTATCTTTATCTAACTTTACCTACCTAACCTGAAATGTTTGGTACACTAACAAACGCTTTTACTAACTACCGATATATAAAAGATGTTGACATATTTTTCAATGTTTTTATATAAGTTTAAATAAAACACTGACTTATATTATGTTTGTGTGTAACACAATTACGTTGATGAGGGTAATTTAAACGTCAGGGGGGCAATTATGATAGTTTGAATTCTTACATAAGCGATTGTATTAATTATTTACTGCTAAGCCTTCTTGGATACGTAATTTTGTTCATTACTAAACGAATGTGTATTAAGGTGTGTTTATACTGGCTACAATTTAATTTTTAGAAGTGAGGGCATGAACTAAGCAAACGATGACTGATTTTCCTAATTGATCGGCGAAAAATTTTGCAAGTCACGGTTTTTATGGTGGCTAGTGACATTGTTTATGTCCTAATATGAAAAACCTAGTTCGATTCGACATATTTTCTGAAACAATATTATATTAAACAGCTTTGGCAGTAATCTGTAGGCACTTAGTAACTATAGCCTGACCCCGTTAGATGACTTGGTTTGGTTAATTCTGACATGTCATCAAACGGGGTCAGGCTATAGTTACTAAGTGCTTACAAAACACAAATCCAAATTATTTTAAACAAATATTTTGCGTCAGTAGTGACACAGAAAGCGCCGTCGGCCGCCAGAGGTCGCGACTGAGCGCTCTAAGCGCGCGCGTCAGAGCGGTTCTTCCCCGGGGCAGGGACCGCGTGCAGGCCACCGCCAACGCAGAGGCTGAACCAGAGGTAACTAGAAATTTTAATTGCATTAGCATTACACAAAAAAGAATAACGAAAAATATGTGAAGACAAGATTATATACTGTCTATAGTTTACGCGAGTAGTACACATTTAAATAAAACACTTTAACGGATTAAAACACGATATATTAGTTAAACTTATTTGAAAATGATTTTTAACTTCGGCCTGACGTTTCGGATGCTTTGCAGCAGCCGTGGTCACGGGGAGACTAAAGATGGAGGATGTCTCTGACGTCAAAGTAAAAAATTGCTACGCTAGCGCCATCTGTTCCGTCGAAGTTGGTATTCGGCGAAACTGGCCGGGTCCTTACAGAATTGACTAACGGTGTCTTCGCGTTTGCTGGTATGCTGTTTATAGTCTCCCCGTGACCACGGCTGCTGCAAAGCATCCGAAACGTCAGGCCGAAGTTATAAATCATTTTCAAATAAGTTTAACTAATATATCGCGTTTTAATCCGTTAAAGTGTTTTATTTAAATTTTTAGACAAGATTATGTCAAAATATTTCTTAATGGTTACGAGACATCACTAATTGTTCAAAACGAAGATACAGATGGTATAAATAAGCTTATGATAAAAATACATCAGAAGTTTGTTAGGTTTACACCATTTGCGGTTTAAATAAATGTAATTGTATAGATGGTTAGGCAAAGGAAAACGGGGATTATTTTTAATTACACCGCACAATGTCCTTAAGCAATCCGATTGCTTTGAAATCATTATTATGTTTTATTATGACATTACAGAAAAAGTAAGCTATTAAAATCAATATGGCAATTGAGACGATTAGAAAAACTAAGCACACACGTAAAAAAGCGCATTTTTGCGCTAGAAAAAACATTATGACGTTACTCCTATTTCTCACCAAGACTAATATCTACCACGCAAGTTTTTGTCAATGGTTTCAGAGAAAGACCCAAGTCTAAGAGATAAAGATAACTTCAAAGTAATTTCAGTGTTGCATAAATAAACATATTCGGTGCAATTTTTTGTGCAAATTGTAATCGATATTTAAGTTTTTTATCCTCTTGTAATTTCCGTATATAAAGATTAGTTCTAGCAGCCTATCGAGGAAATTCTACCTGTTAACCAGAAAAACCCGTAGGTTTTTGAGTTAACTCATATAAGCTATTAAAATCTTTATAAAGCTGGGCCTTTTCTTACAGAACGTCGCCGAAGAAAAGAAAGGAGTAGTGTACGCAGAGTTGGCACTCGCCGAACAGTCGGCTGACAAGCCACCTCCCCCGTCCACGGAGTATGCAGAGATCGTCTACACAGACCAACCGGGACAGATAAAGGAAGACAAAGAGTAGACAGTTGTCTATCTACATAAGTTTTGTAGATTTAAGTAAAAAAGACGCGACTTTTTCACGTTTAAGGCATACAAATGCAGTAATAGAAGGTGCAGCTTTCTCTGACTGCTACAATAAATACTAAATCAAATTCTACCTTATTTTACGTTTATTTGGTAGGTACCCAGAGCAGGTAGTTTTTCTATTATTATTTTTCGCGCTTGAATTATATTTATTGTTACTATAGATGACAAACCACCGTATTTTAATTAAAGAACGACTCAAAAGAGTTATTATTGTATAAATAATTAATTTTTTACCCCTTTTATTTTTAATTACGAACTTAATGTTTTTATATGTTTAATAATAAAAGTTGGGAGTAGAGCTGATGAAATAGTTGTCACGATTTCTTAATTTAAACAATTTGCGATCTAACATTAATGGCTAAAACAATGAAAATCGCAATACTGTTTTGTCGGGTCTACTCCTGTTTTTAGTGACATGGAATAAAGTAATCTCAATTTTAAATATTTACCACTAATGTAAGATAATATTTAATTAAGTTATAAATGTGTGTGACGAATAGGCTAAGTTTAAATATCGCGTACAATTTAATGGCGAACGATATAGTAATATTAAATATAAATGAATGTAGTTCCGTAAGGTTCATAAATTCTACGAGCTTCAATCCTTTTTTATTTAGACTATCGACAGTCCCCTTAATGTACACAATTTGCTTAAAGTTAAGTACAAATGTTTTTTTTAAATTTAACAATTCAATTTAAACATCCCTATGGCTCTGAAAACGTTTACACAAAGTTTTACGTTAATTTTAAACAGGCGCCATTTTATTCCCGAATATTGTCTTAAAAAATAAATATATTTTTATATCTTACGTTTTGTGTACGTTTCGAAAATTAACTAATCGAGGAATATTGTGAAGCTTGAATTTTGTTTATTCTAGTTTTAAATAAGACGCACAATAAACTATATTTTTCATAATTTCTATCGAACCGTCCTTAACTTTTAAGTACTTATATTGTTGGTCTTAATCAACCCTATGTTTGTTTTATGAATAGTTGAATAAATTGATAAATGATCTTAAATAAACTCTTCTATCTAAATACATTTGTTTTTCATTTTAATAGTTCAAATAGTAAATGTATTTTCCTCGAGGAATCGTTAGATTTTATACGGATTACATTTTGGAACAGGTAAGAAAAGCGTGAGTTTTCAAACTTGGGCATTTTGGAAGACAAAAGAGACTCATTACATATGTAATGAATTTGACTGTTGCGACTGATTAAAATAAATTCGCTATTTTTCTAACCTTAAGTTATCGCACAATAAGCGTGAAAGGCGATTGATTCAGGTGTGCTCTATGGGTAATCACTATATATAAAAACCACGTTACGAGTGTTCGTGTTTAGTTTAAAATTCATTAGCCAGAACATTTCTTTGAGCCATATCTTTGACTTGACAATTATATCACAATTCCACATATGAAAGAACACGCCGTACGTGGACATACGTTTTCCGCTTACACACTGAGTTAGGTACGGGTACATTAGCTGTATAGGTAAAGTTAATATAAAATAAGCCTCGCTGCATTAAAGAAATATTTGAATCGGACCCGCCTTCGCGATCGCACAAAATGGATTCCCAACAGTTCCGCGAGTTCGGTAAGCTCGCCATCGACTTCGTCGCAGACTTTTACGACTCGGTACGCGAGAGAGACGTCCTGCCCTCAGTGGAACCGGGATACCTGTCTCGCATCCTGCCCGAGGAGGCGCCGGAGGAACCGCAAGACTGGAAAAAGGTTTTCGAAGACTTCAAAGAGAAAATCTTACCTGGTGTCACGGCCTGGCACTCGCCGCAGTTCCACGGGTATTTCCCCTGTGGTACCTCGTTTCCCAGTATCGTCGCCAGTCTTCTGACGGACGGGCTGGGCATGGTGGGCGTCACGTGGATAGCGAGCCCCGTCTGCACCGAGTTAGAGGTTGTCACTTTGAACTGGTTAGGCAAGCTTCTGGGCCTCCCCGAGGAGTTCCTGAACTGCTCCCCCGGTCCCGGTGGCGGGGTCATCCAGGGTTCCGCCAGCGAAGCGGTCCTCGTCTGCTTGTTAGCCGCTAAAGACAAAACTATTCGAAGGCTGAAAGCTTTAAACGAGGACTTGGACGAGGATCAAACTAAAATAAAATTAGTCGCGTACACCTCCGATCAGTGCAACTCGGCTATCGAAAAGTCGGGCGTTCTCGGCTCAATGAAAATGAGACTCTTGAAAGCCGACCATCTCGGTAGACTTCGCGCGCAGACTTTGACAGAGGCGTTCGAAGAGGACAAAAGAAAAGGGCTCATACCGTGTTACGTGGTCGCCACCCTGGGGACGACGGGACTCTGCGCCTTCGACCCCCTGGAAGAGTTGGGGCCGATTTGTGAAACTGAAAATGTGTGGTTGCACGTCGACGCAGCTTACGCCGGCGCGGCCTTCCTCTGCCCCGAATATCGCTACTTGATGGAAGGCATAAGCTACGCAGACTCCTTCAGTTTCAACGCTCACAAGTGGCTGTTGGTCAACCTCGCCTGCTCACCGATGTGGGTGAAGGATAGTCTAGATCTAATCAAAGCGTTCGACGTGCAAAGGATATACTTGAACGACATCAATTTAAAGGTGAAGATTCCAGACTATCGTCACTGGCAGCTGCCGCTCGGGAGACGGTTTCGCGCCCTGAAACTGTGGATGGTTATGAAAACGTACGGCGCGTCAGGGCTGAAGAAACACATCAGAAATCAAGTGAATCTCGCCCAGTACTTTGCCAAGTTGGTTCGTTCAGACGAGAGGTTCCTAGTGGACCCGGAGCCATCTATGGGCTTAGTCTGCATCAGGCTCGTGGGAGGAGACGAGCTCACGAGAACTCTGCTCAATAACCTACTGGAGAAGAAGAAATTGTTCATGGTGGCGGCGTTCTCGAAAGGCCGGTTGATCATACGTATCGTAATAGGTTCCCAGTTCACGACGCATTCTGATGTGGAGGTCACTTGGAAGTTGATTCGGGACGAAGCCGATAACATTGGCGCTTAGAAAAGTAGGTAGTGTGTAAACGGGCTGCCGCAGAGATTGTTGACTTCAAAACTACTGCTAATTCAGAAAGAGTCATAAAAGTACTTAAGACTTACTTACTCGCTTCTGCTGGCAGCTTCGCTAACACGACTGTTTTGTTTTTTTTTAATGATTAGTACATAAGTTATCTTATTGAAACTATTTTTCGTATTTGGAGAATTCGCTCGTCCTTATTGTTCTCTAGAAACTTTCCGTGAAACTTTCGTATGTTGTATAGATTCATTATTATATGATTAAAATATGTATTGGCATATAGATTCAAGAGTTTTATTTTTCCTCATTAATTAAATGCCTAGATAGAAATTTCTTTTCTGTATTAACATCTAATTCTTAGCTAATTACGAAACTATCCTGAAATGAGGTTATATGGTGTCATGTTATTAAATGTTCAGACACGCGATTGTACGAATTGCCTATGATTGTTTATTTTATTGAAAAGAACACATGTTTTGCGTTCAATGAGTTAAAAATTCTTCAGATATACACGTGTATTATTATTATTTGATGTGTACCTACTTGCAGAGACAGAAAATATTTACTTCCTCTCGTGTGACAAGAAAATGAACAGTTTAACAGGGTCCATTAAGGAATTACATTTATTTCATTAAACCTTCCTAAAACAATAATTTAGTTGTTCGTTTACCGCACATATAGTTCGCAATCTATACTAATATTATAAAGAGGAAAGATTTGTATTTTTGTATGTAACGGATAAACTCAAAAAGTAATAAACCGATTTTAATAATTATTTTTTCATTAGAAAGCTACATTATCACTGAGTAACATAGGCTATATTTAATACTAAATTACTAAAGAAATCTTTAGAAATTTCTATGAAAACCAACGGAAGGCGTAAAAATAATTGCCGTAAAATGTCTTTCATCGCATACGCCGCAATAAGTATTAATGATGGGACGAAAAAATGTTCGACAATATTATAGAATATATCAATATCTACAAAAAACATGGCGAGACCATGTCTAACTATTGTAGTTACGTCGCTATAACTACTTTTTTACATTTAACAAATTAAAAGAAATGCCGATCACAATCAGACCGTCTTATTCATATCATTTATAAATATTTATCCAAATAAAATTTAATATTAAAGACTGTCTCAATACCTGAGCGTCCCAATCGCGAGCCAGAGAATCTAGCGTCGAACGTTCAGTTCGTCTTGCAGAACAAAATGCAAGATCGTCGTAGCTACACGAATGACAGTCAAGTTCAGAGCGCTCGCAGCGACTTGAAGGAAATAGAGCTAGAAACTCTAACACTGAACGTTCGCAGCGGCTCCTGACACAGCGAGATAGACAGCGGTCGTTAACAGCTAGGACGCGGATTTTTTTTTAATTCAGTGTTTCGTGGTCGTTTTAAGTAGCATTCTTATAATTTAAATATCTGTACCTATTTATGTCTTCCCGTGGGACGCGGGACGGGCCGCTAGTGGTCTATAAAAAAGACTTTTGTAATGGTGCGAGACTAATTACAAACTAATCGATTTATTGAAGAACATTATCTAATAATAAATAATATAATCTGTAATAAGACTGACAAAACCTTCCGAAACCTCAAAACCTAGTTGATCTTATCTAATTGATATTTTATTTCGGTGGACCTACTGCAAACCTCGGATCACATTGTGGTACTTGTAATGACTCCATTTTGCAGAGCGATTTGTACCGAAATTACCTGTGCAGTTAATTATCTTTTAACAAACGAAAAAAAAACACTCCTATCATAAGGCTAACCTGTGGTCCAGTAGATTTATTGTGGCGTGTTAGTCTGTATCGGGGGATCGGGTATATAAACTTACGTCACCATATACTTAGTTCACAAATTTTATGAAAATTCAAATCGCACTAGACCCGAGGAAACAATTGTCGTTTCATATCTATAATCTATACTTATTATTATAAAGCTGAGGAGTTAGTTCGTTTGAACGCGCTAATCACAGGAACTTCGGATTCGAATTGAAAAATTCTTTTTGTGTTGGTTAGAGCATTTATCGAGGAAAGCTATAGGCTACATAACATCGCTCTGTGACTAATACAAGCGAAGATAGAGAAAAGTGAAAAAAAATGGGAAAATTATTCACCATTATGAGTTACCGACGCCTACGCTGCAAAAACGGTTTGAGATACCCAAAGAATGAATGTATGAATGATTTTGAAAATATTAATATTTTTCACATGTTATTGCACATGAAGGCACTATATAATTTAAAACACGAAAATAAATTGAAAAAATTTTTCGACTCGGGCAGGACTTGAACCGGCATCGTCAACGTTCCGTGCTGTTGCTCTAAGAGCAACATTTTTACATTGTAGGTTTTTAAATTGTATGAATTATTCCTCTTTAAAAAATGTCCGCGACGTCGTGGGTTACACAGCTTAAGTTTATAAAAGATGAAGGGGTTTGCAAAAACGAATTTGGATGCCCAAAATAAATATTCTTAGAGGACGAAGTCGCTGGCACAGCCAGTAATATATAAAAGCAGTAAAAAAGCTTTAAGATACTCAAAAAATATGTATCAAAGAATGATATCTCTTTACGTGATCTAAAAAATTTTAAGATTGACTAAAGCAAGAACGACGCGACCAACGTCGTGAGTTATTACGTGAAGTATTACGTTGGTTGGATTTATAAAGATGTTTGCAAAAACAAATTTTGATGCCCAAAACAACTGTTCTACGCGGACGAAGTCACTCGCACAGCTAGTTCTATATATAAAACAATAAGCGTTTGACAGCGCGTGCTTTCCTCGGCCATCGGGAAAATCTTAACGAGGCCTGAATCATAACTCAAAAATATTGCAAAGACTTTACTTACCCTCCAACCACCAGATCTCTGTGTCCCGTCTGACCGAGTCGCGTTGAGGTACAAATGTTCATAACAAAGATTGAAATAATAACGGTTTATAAAGGTGCTCAATGATTTAAGGCCATAATTGCACATGAAATAATCAATTGAAAATGAAAGTACAAAGTAGATTTGCTTACTTTAGGTAATAAACATTTTAATACAGTTCACTCTCACCAAGTCATAAATCTTAGCAACAACTAATAACATAATTCTTACAGTTAACATTGCGATTAATTACGACTAATTAAGTAATCTTTTATGTCATACTTTGTTGTAGCATATAGCTCACTCAAAAGTTGCTCCATCTCTCAATTTCTTTTGAATCTTCTCCCAGATCGTCTTGGCGACGGTCGCCTCCGACGTAGTGATGGTATACTCCGCGTTGGGATGTTTAATTTTGTAATGTTTAATAAGATTCTGCTTCGTCGAGAACTTCTTCGCGCACTTTTCGCAGCCGAAAGGCCTGCTATTGGTGTGGGAGACCATGTGGTAGATCAGGCGGGACTCGGTCGGGAAGACTTTGTGGCACACGGGACATTGGACGTTCTTCTTCTTGGCGTGACGCTTGAGGTGAGTCTTCATGTTGTGCTTGTAGGCGAAGGTTTTGTCGCACTGGGAGCAAGAGTAGGGCTTCTCCCCGCTGTGTTTCTTGTAGTGAGTCTTCCGGGCACTCGCGCTGTCGAAGCTCTGGTCGCAGTGCTCGCACTTGTAGGGGCGGACGTTGCTATGCCGAAGTATGTGGCGCACCAGAGCGGACTTGTATTTAAAGAACATCTGACACATGTCGCATTGGTACTTCTTCGCCGCGCTGTGTGTGCGCCGATGGCTGTTCAACGACTGCTCCTTGAGGAATTCCTTGGTGCAAAACTCGCACCTCAGCTTCGCTCTCAGGCAGGGCATTTTCTCGACGTGTTGCCTGAAACTACCCTCTCTCCGGAACTCTTTGTGGCAATTGTGGCACGAAAGAACAGTCTTGTGGGTCGCTTTGCGTTTCGCTCGACCGGAGAATGTACCGATAGACGCGTGGTCAGTCAGATGGTTCTTGTACTCGAGCGAATCTCTAGATACTGCGTGACAAATAGGACACTCGAGCCTTCGTCTGAGATGAAGAATGGCGTGTGCCGCCAGCGAAGGCTTTTTGTCGAATCTTCGAAAACACTCCTCGCATGTGTGAATACCGTTCGATACTGCATTTAGGTTCAAGTCGTCTTCGGTAACTAGAATAGAGCAAAATATTAATCCACATAATCTTTCTATCCGCTACGTAATTTCCGAGTGCTCCTTAGCTTTTGCGTTCGCTCATTCGATCTTTTAAATAAAACGATAATCCTTTATAAATTGTTCAATAACCATGAGTATCTTTGGTTCTTTTGAGCTTTTTGAGCCCTTTTTTATCAGTCAACACGTAACATTGTTTAGGTTCATAAAATTTAAGGGTAGGTATACATTTCCACAATGTTCGATCTAGAATTATATACTCGTACAATAGAAATATTTTCCAAATCAAATTCAAATATAAAATAACAATAAATATTTACAAATAAGTAACATAATATAATTTATGGTATAAAAATCTGCTAAATCCAATAGCGGCTGCCTTCGTGTGAAATAAAAGATCGGTAACCGATCCACTTTCTGCCCGCGACGATAGTCGCAGCACCTCGCTTATGTCGCCTGTTCTTCCTTCATCAACTTCTGCTTCACTTTCTCCCAAACTTGCTTCGCTACGGTGGCATCTGTGAACTTGGACTCGTATTTGTCGTTGGGGTGTTTCCGCGAGTAGTGCCTCATGACGTTCGACTTATGAGTGAACTTCTTGGAGCAAACGTCACACTTGAACGGTTTGCTGTTGGTGTGCGAGCGCATGTGGTAGATGAGGCGACTCTCCCGAGGGAACACTTTGTGGCACAGCTGACATTCCAGGTTCTTCTCCTTCGCGTGCCTCTCGAAGTGGCGCAGCATATTGTGCTTGTGCGAGAACGTCTTCGTGCAGCCGGGACAGGGGAACGGTTTCTCCCCGGTGTGCTTCCGCAAATGGGGCTCCAGCAGACCCTTGTGCGTAAAGGTCTTGTCGCAGAACTTGCAAACGTGCGGACGCACGCCATTGTGGATCTGGATGTGTCGCGCCAGAGTAGACTTGTGCTTGAAGAACATGCAGCACAGGTCGCATTGGAAGGGCCGTTCGGTCGTGTGCTTCTTCAAATGACTCTTTAAGAAGAATTCTCTCTCGAACACCTTATTGCAGTGGACGCAGGTCAGGTCGTCTCTGTTCTTGCAGCCGCCCAGCTTCTGGTGTCGCGACAGGTTGGCTTTCTGGGTGAACTCCTTGCAGCACCGGTCGCACTTGAAGAACTTTATGTCGGTGTGGATCTTCTTGTGCGTGTCGAGGTTGGAGGAGCTTTTGAACCTCTTTCCGCAGACGAAGCAAGCGTACTTCAAGTCGTGCGATTGCAAATGTTCGTTGTACTGTTCTAACTTCTCTAGCCGCAAGAGGCAAATGTGGCACTCCAGTATCTCACGGCTGTGCAGGACCTTGTGGACGCGTAAATGAGACTTCCGAGCGAAACCTCGAAGGCATACGTCGCAAACGTTCCTACCGTCGATGACCATGTTTCGATTAAGGTCGGCCTCTGTCACTAGAACCAAAAATTACTCTGAATATATTTCTTTACAGACTCGTCCCATTTTTGTGGTTGTGCTTAGTTGTACTATAGATATCAATGTGACCTGTATACAGTATGTTGACTATAATACTAAGAATCAACTAGTGAAAGGACGAAATTCGTCCGGTAGATTTTGCGTAAAACTAGAACGAGCCACTATTTTGAATCGTTCAATGCCTTTATACGCAAAATATACTAATAAAAAGAAATTTGTCATTTCACATGAGATGTTATAGTCCAGGAGCTGAATCAACGCAAAAGCTAAGGGCCGAAGATCGCTTTTATTTAATGATATATGTATCACACTTAAATAAAAGTTTTTGTAATATGACTTATATAAGACTAACCTCCATCTTCAGAAATAAATGGTTCATTGGGAGTTTCCACGTCTGGTAGAATAAAATCATTTTCCTAAAATTACATTTTATATTATTTTAGCACTCCGAGTAGAGTAAGTGACAGTCAGTAATAATAGATGTACATCAAGTAATGAAAGATTATTAATTGCGGTTGATTTGATAGAACTTATTTCATTGTCTCATTCTTATTCTGTATTTACTCACTTGGCACTCCTGTTTAATTGATGGCTCAAATTCATTTTTAACCACAACAAAATCTATATTAGCTGGAGGTAATGGTACCTGTTGACTATTTGGAACTGATTGCGATGTTTCCCTGAAAATTAGAGCATAAGTTATTAGTAAAACACAAAAGTGGTATTCAAATGTTTCATATTAAAAGCTCTGTATAATTAATTAAAACAATTCAATGAGAGTTTCTAAGTATAACCATGCTATTTTGCTGCTATTAAACTGATGCTATATATACACACTAAACTTTCAGATGTTAAATTCTCAAAACTAAAGTTGCTTCTCCATAACTGTATAGTGATTTAGTAAAGGTTTATTCTTACTTAGGAGATCTAAAAAGTGAAATTATTTTTTGTTGAGGTAGTTAAGATAATGAGTGCACATATGCAACCGATACACCATTACAATTTTAAATTATTTTTTGGATTATAAACTACTTAAATTGACCATTGCCTTTCTAATAAACAAGAGTGGATTGTATTTTTTGAGAGGTAATTTTTAAATATAGGTAAATAATAGAGATGTTTTTGTACATGAGACTATATGACAAAATATAAAACTGGGAATTCTACATTTGTCTTTGAAAGAATGTCTTTCTGTTGTTTGAGTTTGAACCACCCTAAGAAGCTAGAATGGATCTAGATGTTAAGTATCCAGTATCTTTTAATACTACATAAACAACTTTATACGCAGCATATAACCATCCAACGCCCAACCCACAGAAGTTTCATTATAATCGATACGATAGTTTTGACGTGTTCAAATAGTTTGCGAGTCGCTGATAACAGGTATAGCAAGGATATATCCATTCAATCTGTTAATGAATAAAACTTACTCTTGCTCTTTTGAACCATCATTTAATTCCGACTTAGGATCATCACAATTTTCCGAATCGAAGTAAACAGGCTCCACTTTTATAGTTACATTCTCGGCCATTTTAGCCGCCTTTTCACTCAATTCTTCGTTCGACATACTGTACCGTGTTATCTTTATCACAGCTTCATTAAAAGCGAAATCAAACTTAATAGTTAATTTTAGAAATAATGCTACATATCTAACTTAAACAAACCCAGAAGTGATAAATACTCCAAGTCTATTTTGTCTCACATAGAGTTATTTGACAATTGACAATAAATATAGAGATTAGGGAGGTGTTTAATGGTTTGTGAATCGATTCGATTTTTCTTAGTAGTTAAAATCGATGATATTAATCTAGATATTATGTATCATCTTATAAAGCCGAAGAACTTGTTGTTTTTTTTTATAGTGTAGTTTGTACTTATTTTAATTTGTATTGGTTGGACCATTTATTGATGAAGGATTTAAAGACGAAGTATGCAAAGCTTTGTAACATCACTCTGCAAACAATTTTTTCGCGACCAGTAATAATTTAAATAAAACACTTTAACGGTTTAAAAACGCGATATATTAGTTAAACTTATTTGAAAATGATTTTTAACTTCGGCCCGACGTTTCCGATGCTTTGCAGCAGCCGTGGTCACGGGGAGACTAAAGATGGAGGATGTCTCTGACGTCAAAGTAAAAAATTGCTACGCTAGCGCCATCTGTTCCGTCAAAGTTGGTATTTGGCGAAACTGGCCGGGTCCTTACAGAATTTACTAACGGTGTCTTCTCGTTTGCCGGTATGCTGTTTATTGGGATCCAGAGTTTTTAATATGGGATCCCAGATGTTTGATAATTTGAGGCCGTCCTCCCTATTAAAATTCCCTATTCAAATAAGTTTAACTAATATATCGCGTTTTAAACCGTTAAAGTGTTTTATTTAAATGTGTACTACTCGCGTAAACTATAGACAGTATTTGACCAGTAATAAATCATAAATGGTTCGATTTATTTTGATGTATTATATTTTTGATGTAAAATGCCAACATAATTTGATATTCCAAAATTCTTCTAGGTTAGAATCGATAAAGTTAAGTTATAATTGTTAGAAAAGTTTCAACAAACTCTTTGGTCCTAGCTCCTCCTATATGTTTTCTTTTTATTCTAAGTGTCATGCAGTTCTTTGTTTTCCTTCTGTCAATAAATATTTCGAATACCTCAATAATAATAAGTTTAAAGTAAATATGTTTTAAAGGCTGTAAAGAACTGTATGAGTGAAGGAATCGAGTTTGGTATAAGAAATGAATACAAAAATAAGTTAACAAATCAATTTAATAAAGAATAAATTTCAGAGTTAACTCGATACATAAATTAATTAATTGGACCGGTCCTCGCTTGCATATTGTATGCGGAATTAAAAGAATTAATGACAAAGATGCGAAAAAAGTTTCACTGTGACTAATTGAAAATAATGCTTCCGACGAGGGGACATGTAGGTGTAGTGTAAAACGTATGATTAATATTTGTGGAAAATTGTTCCGACTTTTGTAACAATAAAACGACGAGTGTCAAGGAGAAAGGATTTCAAATACATTAACTGACCGCTAGTAATAAATCATACTACGCTACCGAAACAAAGTTCCTAAGTTTGATTGAACGCGCTGATCTCGGCAACTACTGGTTCGCATTGAAAAATTGTGCTGACTAAAGCATTCAGCCATCAGTCGGTTGATTAAACATGCTGGGACATGTAAAAGAAACGGGGACAATTATCCATCTTTAAGGGTTCTATTGCGTGCGCTGTAAAACTAAAATGAACACTATTTTAGGAGGCGATGATCCAATAAATTAAATATTCTCCATGAGCTAGTATTTGGCAAACTGTGTACTTTACCAAGTCAATTATTCAAACTATCCTTTGGGAATGAAGTATAGGATCCAAAACAGTAGCGTAGCTAGGTGGACAAGGGCCCCGGTCTACTTAATTCTAAGGCTCATGAAACAATCGGGTCCTCATCGCCGCTTTCTTCTACGCTTATATCTTCTCAAAGATAAGGTTAGAGGGCCCCTAAGTTCCGGGGCCCTGGTGCACTGCACCACCTGGCCCTACGATAGCTACGCCACTGATCAAAAAGTTTCGAGATGTTAAAAATATTCAAAAAGATAGGTATGTTAGTTATAACAATCCGATAACGTACAATTAAGGTGATTGGACATTTGGAAACTTGTGCAAATCGTTTTAAACCGTTAACCAGTGTTTTATTTAAATGTGTACAACTCGCTTACACTACAGACAGTATTTTCACGCCTTTTTATGTGTCAATTTAATATATTAGTAAAAATTAAAATAAATGACTGAAGAAACTACATAGTAAGTAAAGCCATCTTTTGACTCAAAGATGACGCGTGCTAGCTAGCTAGTTTGGATTTACAATACTAGTACCTACCCGATAATAAAACGCATTTACATCATCTTTTTATTGCATTTCATTAAAATCGATACCAGTGTTTGACTGTGTGTATAATTATAAATAACAATGTCATTCCACGCATTGCTCAACGATTTCTTATTTACACCAAAATACTGTCGGATAGCGATGTGTAAGTGTGCAAGCAATAAATATGGGACAAGAGGGTGGTGTCAAATAAGGAGATAAATTTAAGTACCAACTTACATATTCTGTCTCATTTATATTACCGTTCAAGGTATCCTAATGGCTTTGAGCCAGTTGGTCTCATCGGACTCCGAGAGTGAAGAGATGGACCGGGAACCCTACAAAGAATTGTAAGGGCTCATTATCCAAATAAATAACTGGTAGTTTACAAAGAGGGGATTACTAGCGCTGGAATTAGAGATCTGTTCTGTTCTCTTGAGCCATTCTATCGTTACGAAATATATCAGGGGTTTCATATAATAATAATAAATACTCTATTTATTATTTTTGATTTCTTTTAACTTTGTTTACTTTTAAATAATAGATTGTGTAATTAAATAATTTAAAAATAAACATCTGTGGAGTTAATAATTTGTATTACATCAGAAATTCCTTGATGCAAATTTAAACTAAACTAAAATGCGTTTTGTTGCGCACTTTATTTATCAGAATATCCTATCATAGTTAAATCAAAAATACCCAATAATTTCACCATTTAATTTCAGGGACAAAGTACTCCAAGATTACGAGTCCTCAGTAGCAAAACCTAATGCTGTGAAAGAACACTTCTACTTTCCATATTGGGATAAGGGGCATTGGGTGTTCGACAGGTTTGTAAAATAATTAAACCTGATAAGTATTGCATGTCCGCTTTTCAAGCTACAAGTGAAAAGTGACGCGTACCCACAACCCACACATCACTAGAATTATAGGTAAGTTGCCGGCCTTCTGCATTGCGAAATAATTTACACTACGTCTATGCGCCGAAGTAGTATCATTAAGACTACTTGACTGCAAAATATGTAAATGTTACCTTAAATCAGCTGGTCATCACTTATGAAGACCTCGTTATCATAACATACATTTAATAACACAATTTTTTTGACTCCATCTGTATCCTACCTTTATTATAGGGAAGAACAGACGAGCATATGAAAGGTGAAATAGCCTAGTATACATATTTTTCACTATTTAAAAAAATATTGTTAGAGCGGAAAAACAATATTAAACTCTAAAATATTCATTTATTAGCCAAAATTAGGCTTAGCCGACAAAATGTGCGCCAACGTTCGTATTCGACCGTTCCTCAGCTAGTCCGGGGGCGCGCGCAGTTATTGCGTCGCACTAGTGTTGTGTCGTTCCCGCTAAGTCGGAGGAATATTTCTATCAACACCAATATTAACCAATTCTAACTTAAAACGATACATAAAGTAAAAAATCTAAAAGTATAAACTAATAAATATACTACCCCCAGCATAACGCGGCTTAAGCTGGCATTAGATCAATGAGCCAGTGAAACTAAACCTATGACAGAGTTAGTCACATGAAATTGTCCGCGTCTCAATTAGTCTCGTCTACCCACTTTTCCCGCGTGATTACGAATAATGTGTATCGACTTGCCGTCGCCAGCGGTGAACCGCTCTAGTTATTTCGTCTACCCTCTTTGTCTGCGTGATTACAAATGTCGTGTAATCATTTTAAATGTTTGCAGAATGAAACTTAAGTCCACAGAGCGACCCTTAGGACACTTTCTTCAGAAGGGCAAGTGGGCGAAACACTACGAATGCAATCAAATATGTCTCGGAATTTACGAGGCGTAAGTTTAACGTTGAGAAATTAAGGACCCTAACAAAAAGACGTATTAAGCAAAAAATAAATAAATTAAAACTTGAGACTAATTATAATTAAGTTATTCAAAATAATCCTTAATTTGACAAAAAGATTTTGAACATTTGTATTGAAGCCTACTAAAATTTGCCAAACTGTCTATTATTTTTCTCTGCACACTTCTCAATCTGTTATTATGTAATTTCTTTATTATTTAAAATGGAACGTCACTTAACACGACGGTTTGATTTGTTTGTGATTTTATATCTAAAATTTTCAATAGGTATCGATTTTTGTGCCTCGGTTCGGGCTTTTTTAACGTTTTAAGCATTAAGAAAATTATATACATATGTCTCGAGCTGCCGGCATCGTCGTTAAGTAAGGTATTATGCGAGAAATAGTATTAAGCGCGACTGCATGCAAAGTACACATTTAAATGCACTACGCATCAGTGAGAACCGAACTCGATATTTCAGACATGGCGAAATCTGCGCCCAAAGGTTCGTGACCCGCGCGAGCAAATGGAAGTACGAATACAAAAAGTTCCGGAACATGTGCTATCTGGAGTACGAAAACTGCAAACACGTGTATAAGCGTGAGCTCATAAGATCCCAATTACAATTCGATTGAGTACGTTTACGCCTTTTCAACATTTATGTGTCTTTGCAGGTTTTGGTGGGTATATGTTCTCAATTATTCTTCTCCCATTTTGAACACATTAAAAAAAACTCACTTCCTACATATAATAGATTTACATTTCACTGATGGCCGTCGATAGCGGATTGTCACGTACAGTCAATCAAGGACTGTTTTATAACCGACGCCGTAGTCAATAGAGCTCCTTTTTTCGCTAATTGATTACCGACCGTTCCCGAACACTTCCGCCACACGCGCATTTGACACATATCCGAATCAGTTTACATCTTTTATAAAATTAATAATTATTTTAGATGCCATTAAAGTTAGGCTCATACTATTTAAACTTTGCTTAATTTTGAAATATAATATTCCTATATTCCTCGACAGACTGGTACCCGATACACGAGGGCGGTTGTCCGGAGTTCAAGAGGATGACCCAAAACCCCACGAGCGCATGGAGGGTGGCTAATCGAGTGCAGAAGTGGCAGAGACGAATCAAGTCGAATAAAATCACAGTGGGCCAGCAAATGTACTAAAAATAAATGTTTTACTACTCTCACACAAATATTTTTACCGCATGTCTCGCCCATCTTTTCCCAGTAGTGGGAAGGAATTATCTATATCTACACTGCATTTAAAAACAGTCGTTTTATGTATATTTATTATCTTTACAATTACAACACATTGGCAGTTTGTACATAAGCACTAATGTCGCTTACAGCTAACATTTTATGTACTTTAACGCATTTGAACATAATACAATTACAAAAAAATACAATTGAAATATTGATCATTTACAAAAACGGTGGTGAGTAACGGCTAAAAAATGTCGGGTCACGGTTTTAATGAATTAAAATATGCATTACAAATTGTATATTATAAACGCTCATAAAGATCCGATGGCAAATCGTTGTAGGGCACATTTTGGACGACTTAGTGTTAAGGCTACGCCAGTTACAGTCGGTCCCAAGTCTGCAGACTCAGTGGCCCGTCAACTTATATAAATATATATTATATGTCAAGATGGCGGACGAGCACCGCAAAAAGCCAAAAGCTTTACTATATATATGTTATTTACAATTTACAACACCTTAAAGCAATTTAATCAACAATTATATCTTATTAAAAAAACACACATCGACAGGCCATACAATTTCTGTAGAACATCGTTTTCTTTACAAACTTGGGACTAGACTAACGTAACAACGGGTTTTTTATTAATTGAAAGTAAATAGTGGTTTAGAAAGGTTTACAACAAATTATTCTATCTGAACAAACCGTTTGAAGATGAAATGATCTATTTCCTTCCAACATGTCTCTAGAATATTACAAGTCGAAGGTCTTTAGCAAAGAAGTAATATATACAAAAATATAATATTAAGGTAACATCTTGTCTAGTCTCTTATAAACAGCGCCATCTAGCTAGTTAGTACTAAACTAAATTGTCAAATGTCTAGACGATCATTCCTACTAATCAAGAGTCAATCAGAGGCTAAAATCAGTAGATAAAAGCGTTTGGTGTCTCCAAAACAAACCGACTTCAAAAAAAGTGGTTTTTGAGCTATGTCCTCCGATACTACTGCATTGATAAAATACAATCAATGAGTTATTGTCAATAAAAATACTACTAAAGTAGTTTCAAAATTACAACTATACTTAAGTGTCACGTCTTGTAACAACTATGTCATACTTTCTCGTAAGTCGCAATATCATATTTCCCACATTCAACAGCAATAAAGTCGGTATTTATAATTAAGTACGTTGTACGCTAACCCCCCACTTTCAGACCTACTCCAACGGTTCAAAGTCCATATTACCACAGAAATCCGCTAAGAACTCTAAAAAGAGCGTGAACTTCCCCGTAGAGGATTTCCACTTCGATGCCACCGATTTCATGCAGGTGGATAGGCTTTTTAGAATATTCTGAAATGGAAAAGTATTTTATATGAGACACTACAATGTTTTAAATGTAATTACATTTCTGAAGACGAGATGACGTTATTTAAACTAGTTTCAGTAAATACACGTATTATCTATTAAATTAATCAATAATGCCCTACCTCATGCTCCTCTAAGGGACAAGGGACATGGGACTTGATTAGCCATTTGCACATAATTGCACTTTTAAATACATTTTAGGTAAATTGAGTGGGAAATATCGAATTATATTAGTTAAAACAATCTCACGCGCGCTCTTCCCAGACCTAAGTGACAAGGGGGGATAAATTTTACAGCTGCGGAATGCATGTCATAAAGCGTAAACAATATGAAATTTTAGAGAATAGATTTCTTTCAATTTATCGATTTTTAATTTATACAATGCCATAGTCACGTCACTGGAAACGTCGGGATGTGATTAATATAATTTTCAAATAAGTTTAAATAATATATATCGCGTTTTAAACCGTTAGTGTTTTTAAATGTGTTCTACGCGCGTAAACGGCAGACAGTATTTAACTACTAACCTGCGGCCAATCCTGCCTGTACACAGCCAAGCACTGCTCCGTCAGCGAGTCCTCCGTCAAGTAATCGTGCCGCAGCATGAAGACGAGGACGTCTGCCAGCGCCTCCCAGACGTCGCTCGTTCTGCGTCTCGACTCGCCCATGAGCACGATGTTGCGCGGGCAGAGCACTCTGTCGAAGCACTCTAGGTTCGGGTCGGACTCTGTGTTCGGGCTGTCCACTGAAATTATTAAACACATACATCCATACCAGTTTGCAGATTTGTTCGCGTTTAATTGTTCTTTAAGACGAATTTAACCAACATAAGTAACATTGTAATACATATTTGTTTGGAAAGAGCGAGAATAAGAAACGAATTAAACTGACGAAATAACATTTCGTACAGTATTTACAGCGTTACGATACGGCTGGGACTTGAACCGGCATCTACATTCAGTGCTGCTGCTATATCTCAAAATTATCGACACAGACAGGACTTTAGCCGGCATCCACAACGCTCCGTGTTGCTGCTCTAACCAATTGAACTACCTAATGTACCTACACTTACACGTCATCGTTGAATTATTAATACATAGTATTAAGTTAACAAGATCCTACAACTAAAATATTTTCCAATGTTTTTCTCCTACCGTGTCCTACACCAGAGGTGCATATCTCGATAGATTGAAGAAATTCGACGATGACGTGGAGGACGCGGTAGCTCAACAGCAAAGAACGCTGTGAATGCCGGTTCAAGTCGTGTCCGTGTAGTGAATTCTTGTCTTAAATCCATTTTAAATTCAACAACTTCCTCAGCATGCACTAATGGAAAACAGAAATCTCTTTTTACCTTTACTATCATTCAAACTAGCATGATTACTATTAGCCCCATTGGTTTTATCCTTCTCCTGGACCTCAAATACAATTTTCCCGATCGGAGCTCCGTCGTCATCAGAGTTGGGGGTGGGGGCTCTCTCCTCGGAGTAATTCTTGAAAGTGGGGGACAGGCTGGCCCTCCGCTCCGGGAGAGACAGCTCTTGTGGCGGGGACGGCTTACGGTCGGGGCAGCAGTTGTTCCAAATCGCGTCCAAGGCTGACAACATTGTCTCGTTAAGTTGATCGGGTCTTCTACTCACTGGAAATAATATAAATGAAAGTTATATAAACAGAAATGTCCTAGGTCACTGGACTTGGCTATGTTCATAAAGAAGAAGAATAAAAAGAAAGAAGATAAAAATTGTCCGCGACTATATGTCTATCTATATGTCTCTCTTGCAATATTTGGCAACAGATATAATTTATAAACATGAAGAGAAGATTTGCAAAAGCATATCGCTGACGTAGCTAGTTATATCATACGCAAACATTAAGATATTAAATTGGCTTACAATAAAATGTTATGAAAATAGTTTGGATTTCCAAATATCTATCTATCTTCTGTCTGTAATTTACGCGAGTAGTACGCGTTTAAATAAAACACTTTAGCTGTTTAAAACGCGATATATCCGCGATATATATATAACTTCGGGCCGAAGTTAAATATATTGTTTTAAGTTTAACTAATGTATATCGCGTTTTAAACCGTCAAAGTATTTTATTCAAATAGGGTATTTTCATCAACCCTTCACTATCCCAAAACAAAATGTTATACGCCTACCAAACACAAGGCAGTAGTCAACGCTCAGTTGCAAAATGGCCTTCTGAGCGGGAGGTCTACAAAATGGGTTCCCGCTGGTGCAGCTGGTACACATCTCCAAAATTGGGAACACCTTATTCTCCACCTCCTCGTAATCTAGTAGCTGACATATGTGCTCCTGAAAAGTTATAGATTTTTCATGAATTAGGGTTCTTCAACTGAAGGCTTCAGCCAAAGTATTGGGCTGAAGGTAGTCGATTGAATAGAAAAATATTGTATACGGTGGGGATCGAACCCCCGAGCCGATAATTATTAGTCATAACTTCGCCATTACACCAACGAGGCCATCAAGATGTCAATATTTATTAATGTCGCTGGAGGCAGAGTGGCCTAACTTTTCGGGCTGTTCGACCGACGTACACGACGAACAGCCCGAAAAACAATGATATGCCTTACATTTTCGGTATATGCTAATGAATAAATCTCTCACCTTGAGGGAGATAATAGCGAAAGCTGGACTGTCAAACGTCTTGCATTCCATCGAAGTCGGCTTATCATTCGGTTGAATTTGGAAATTGTCGCCCAAAGTTAGCAGTGTGTTTAACTCGGCACTTATATTTTTACAAAGAATCGCTGAAAATTGACAACAATGACAATTAAAAGAAGATCTTTTGGTTCAGTGTTCACTTGTCGGGCAAGGAGCGAATTATTTATTTACGATTATTTAGGGGCAGATCACACTTTTGGGCCCTGCCCAAAAAAATTATAGTTTTCCGGGGATTCAAATCTAGGAAATTTTGCAACGCAATTCTAGGCTACTCACTAGATTCGACTAGAATTAGACGAATGCGGTATTCTATCCAAGTAAAGGGAAAATTACCTGTATTATTCCAATGTTCAGTCATCCACTTGACAAGTTTCGCGTTGCACGCCTTACTGGCGAAAGCGACGAGCGGAGCGTGTAGCGGGGCGACAGCGGACGGCAAGAGCGCGCTCAAAGCGGACGAGACCCGCGACTTCATACAAGCCCGGGACTGCTCTAGAGATGTCTTTCGTAAGTGCTCTAGCTGTTCTGTGTATAACTGTTCTAATGCTGGCAGGAGGGTAGTCTGAAAATCCAATTTAAATATTATAGTTATGAACACACTTTGTAAATTTTTACATTAACATCCTCCATTACCTCCTCTAAGTATTAGCATGAAGCGTATTTCTGTGTCTGCTCGACTGCGACAATTACGTAAGGCGAATCATGCAGGAATAATGCGGATTTAAAACACGAAATATTAATAAATTGTTTTACGACTCTAAAGTTTGTGCCCCATTATCAAACCCCCCCCCCCACCGGTATCAGTATTTAACGTATCAGTTGTTTCAATGGCAACACCTTGACCTCTTACACTTTACTTGCCTAGTTTTCACAGACGAGAATACCAAAATAACTAAAAATAAATGACACCATAGATAACACACCTTGCCCTTATCTTTAGACTTACTGACAAGTCTGAAAGCCATTTCGCTGCACCTCTTCCTGGCGTCCACCAGCGCATTCGTCGTCAGCTCCTTGACTGCGCTCGAGGTCACCCTCTCTATCACCAATTCCAGAACCCGACGCGTCGAAGATGGTTGCGATTTGAGGAATTCCTCTTCTAGGCGGGCCTAAATCGATGAAGAATAAAACCGTTAAAATGTATAATTTTATAAGACAGCTGGGACAGCGTCACAAGAATTAACCATGAGTTTTGGACTGTTTTAAACTAAAAAAAACCTAATATCATTTGTAAAATTTAAAAAATACAATATGGACGGAACTTCAACCGGCGTCCACAGCGACCAGCGCTATTCTAAGCAATTGAACTTTCTAGTCTTAAAAGTGAATTTCTTCCATCGATTCAAACATGCACCTCCGCATTGTAGTTTATTAAAATTATAATTTCCCACGCGTTGTAGTTTATAAAAATTACTATTATATTAAAATAATAAAAATATTAATTCAATAAATGTTAATGTTGAAATTACATTGCGCGAGATGTGTATGTAGAATTGGGTTGAAAAAAAATTGGACAATTACATCTAGAACACAGTAACTAAATGGTCAGAACAACAACACGGACAGCTGTAGGTGCCAGTTCACGTTCTGGCCGTTTGGTGAAATTTTTAAAATCTAAAATCGATGTTAATTGTAAAATATATTTCCATGCTTATACTAACCTGCAACTCTCGCTCCTTATTCCTAATCCTATCTTCGGTATTTACAGTCAAGCTGATCGGCGTAATATGTCTAAACGTGCCGATATCGCCCTCGGACGCCTTGCAGGTCAACAGAACATTGATATCCCTCAGAAACGGACACAACTCGAACAGCACCGACTCATCGATAACTTCATTCGAATCGATCGTATCGACGTCGATTTTAAAATCAATTTTCGCCTTCTCCGATGACAATTCGCGAGGGAAATGGGGCAAATCGAATAGCCAGCCAAGAATCGATTGTAGAAAGATGCTCGTTGTCTTTTTGAAATTAGTCGTTTTGTCGTGTATGTGAAAGACTATTTTGATCAATCTCTGGTAATAGTTTAGTCTCAGCGTTGTGTAGTCGAGCATAGATAGATAGTGGACGAGCCACGGTAAGGTTATGCAAGTGCGGTTGTTCTCGATGGCGGTCGTCAGAAGGCCGATGAGGTCCACAGTGGGTTGGCTCTGGAAGGTACAAACATGTATAGAGAATCAAATTAAAAACTACAGTGCAGTGTTACAAAATGACCAAACGTTTTTAATGACGTTAGAGATCTCTCCATAGATAAAATAAATACATCTAGACTCCATAACAATATAGTGAATAGAAGCAGATGTATTAATTTAATAAATTCTTAAAATTCATTTGTTAAAAATACCAACATACATTAAACATCGATTTTAGATTGAAAATTTGATGACGCAGGCAGGACTTGAATCGGCGCTGTTTTCACTCTAAGCAACTGAGCTACGGTGTCATCATCATCAACTTCATCAACATGTACAATAACACGTGAAAAATAAAAAGCTTTCAAGTACTCACATAGTTCCTGGAAGCCAAGTTATTTTCTAGAACCTTCTCCTTGGGCGTTGTGTAAGGTTCTATGTGGGGTGTGGTTTTGCCAGTCATGTCCAAGGAGTACGGTAAGGAGACCATCAACCCCAGGAATTTGGCGAACAGTCCAAGCTTTTTAGAGAGAGACAGGTATTCGCGTTTGCTGTCTGAACCGTTAGCTGAAAGCATATGTCTTTCTTTAAGATTTTTTAGAGAGGAGGACGGGTTCACTTGATGGGAGATGAAAAACATCTACACAAGATGCGCTATCGACCTATGTTGGCTTTGGAAATTCGGAAAGCCAGACTGAAACCGGCTTTTTCATCTGCGGACGGAATTTATGATATTGGTACCACCCATTTTATACCCAGATTTCTAGACGAAGTCCAACATGTGTCAGTATCTCGGTAGGCATTGCTACCATTAGTCCAGCAGAGTAAAATAAAATATCTTTGGCTCTTTTAAGTGACAGTAAAAAATTACTCACAAGTCTCATTCCCGATGGGCTTGGAGTCGAGAGAGATGATTTCCGAGGCCAGAGCATCTTTCAAGTGCACGCGAAAGCACTCGTTCTCAGCTTGCATAATAAACTCTCTAGCGGAAAATATAATACATAAAAAATTATATATATAATTAGAATTGTCTATAGATTAGGCTACTATCACTACATAGTATAAAACGAGTCTCACAAAGTTAGGTTTGTCGTATTTTTTTATTTAAATAGATTTTAAATTTATAACGCCATGTGTAATATATGTAAAAAATATCAGGTTTCACATTTTGAACGGCAAAATTGATTTAAAAAAAATATTTTTAACTGCAATCCGACCGCACACCAAGCGCAAATTTCCAAAAAACAGAGACTGTCTCCCGTGTTACGTACTTGTAGAACATTTCCTTGTCTGTGAAATGGGGCAGTCTATGTGACTCCGGCGCATTAGGACAGGTAAGCCTTCTTTGGAGCTTGCTCAGCTTCGACTCCTGTTGGCGTAAATGTAACAAAAACAGTTTTCAATCCAATCAACATGTTATTAATATAGAAGAAGATTATTATTACATGTTATTAAGATAGAAGTCCGTAGGTTTGATTCGAACCTGGTGCCACATGTTACTTAAATCGATTTAAATTTATAATATTCATGAAAACACCCTGTCTGGATATTATAGTAAAGGAAATTCTATCCCAGTTTTAGAACCAGACAAGAAGGCCTCCGTTTTGGCTTCAGTCTCTCGATTTCTGAATATCCAAGGCAGTAGAGAGCACAGGTTTATTGAACAGGCTAAGATGAAAAGCTTCCGTCACTCCATGTCTGACAACAAGTTGCTAAACACACATAAATGTTATCCGCCTTTGTTCACCTGCTCATTGGGCGGCAAACATTCCGCCAGCATGTGCACGAAGAGAGCAGCAAGATGCGCGTGATTCGCTGCGCAGGGGCCGCAAGACAACAGCGATTTAATGCGAGCTCTGAAACTCGTTCTAGACCCGCCATTGGTCTGTGTATCTTGGTACCACCTACGAAAGCAGATTTAATAATTTTATATTAGAAAAATGAGCGGTTGAGAAATTATCCGTGTTGCACTTAGTACTTTACCTTAAAATCTCATAAAACATATCCCTCTGTTTCTTAAAATTCTGAAAGCTCAGCAATGAAGGGAAGTTATCGGCATTATCCGTGTCCAAATTAAAGCAGACTATTCCGTTAGATATTCGGCCTTCTTGCGGTGGCCTCTTTTGTGTGTCGGCTTCGCATTTCAAGCCGTACGCGTTCAACAGAAACTTTGCCAGATCTGGGAAGAACCCTCGCACCTTCTTGTTTTCACCCAAAGTTTTTAAGGCGTTCTTATCCAAAATAACTTCTAAAATAGACCGCAAATTCCACAAAGATTTTACAGCGAAGTATGTGCTATTATGTATAATTTTCAAAATATTCATTTCTTTAAATTGAGATTCATACTTTTTAAAGTCTTCTTCGTCCTGTTTTGACAGCAAAATCGTTATCAAATAATATACCTCTGTATTTACACTCAATATGAGATTGTTTTTCATCAGAACGTCATATATTTCTATTAAAATGTCAACTTTCTCCCTTAAAACTATTTTGTTCACATCCGCATCGATGAAACTCTGTACTTTCTCTTCCTTTTGTAGTATTTTAATCTGTGGGGGCGCTTTAGGTGCCACATTTGTGGTTAATATGTTAAACTTTTCCATTAATTTATGTCTTTCTTGTCTTAGAATGTTTCTTTCGGCGTCAAAATTTTTAGAGGGATCTTTGAGCTGTACTTTTTGTTTAAATGCTAAATTTTCTTCGTGACCTAAAGTTGGCTGCTGAAAAGCATCCGTGAAATTATTTAAGGAGGTGCTTTTATCGATATTAGTTGGTTTGATTCTACGTCGTTCTGAACGCAATGAACTGGATTTCCTTGCACCAATTTCTGGGAATATTTCGGAGTTGCTGAAATCTAATTTTGGTTCGATTTCTTCATGTGAAGCATTTTTACTAGATCTTTTCTTTTTGGAGCTTTTGGGTTGGACAGTTACTATGAAGTCACCTGAAATGAAAACTCTAAACATTACACTCATCACTAAAGTTTTTTCTAGTTAAAATGGAATTATCTATCTGAATTTAAAGCTAGCAATGTGATTTAATAGAATCTATGCTTTTAAGAGAGATGGAAGAATATAATTGATTTAATTATAGCAAAGTTATTATTTTCTATCCAGGACACCTGTGGAGGGCCAGGTGATCAGTCCACACCATCAGCTGAGCATTTCACCCATTTCCTCCTTGCAGAGGTTTTGGGTTCTCCAACTCTCACCATGTTCCCTTCAAACCTTTCGGTTTGCTTGCAGAATTTTACTATTTGTTCCCTCTTTAATTTTTTGATGTCATCTTCTCTTATTTCATCTGGACCCATATAGATTTGTTTCAGTCTCCAGACTGCATAGCATTTAGTGAGTAGATAAAAGCATAGTTACCTAAGCTAATACTTTTATCCTGTGACCTTGAATGTCTACTCAAACGTGGTGTATCACACCTTTCACTGAAACTCTTAGATGTTGGGGTTACAGGACTGGCCATAAAGTCAGGACGTAATCCATTTTTCATTGGTGTACTGGATATCATAATTCTTTCAACACCAACACTTAACCTGGATTCATCGGAAGACACAGAAATGGACTGATTTGGCTTTTCGTCTGTGAATAATTTTGTTTTGACTCTCCGACCTGGCTTTTTGTTATGGTTTGGTGATTCTTGCGTTTTCCTATCAGGCTTACTATCTGATTGGTCATTTTCGTTGCCAGGATCGCTGATTGACCGATGATGTTTACGTCTTACGGATAATTTCTCTTGTGTTCGATTCAGTATTTGTACAGCACTGCTGTTTGTATTTAAAATTCTGAAATACATGTTCTGATTAAAACAACAATTCTTATATAAAATCATTCACTTTGCAATAAACTAATAATAATCTAAAAAAACCGTCATATAATAATATAGTTTATATTGTGATAGCTAATCTCAAAATGTAAAAAAAACATTACCCATTAGTCTGGTTTCTTATAAAAGAGAGAAAATATGCAACAAATTCGTTTCTTGTGCAGCAAAATAATATACAGTCTTCTGGCGCGCCCTGAAAGAATAATGTTTAATAAAACTTCACTATCACAACATAAACAATGGTATTTAACACAAATTAGGTTAGACCTCTAAAGACTCATCATTTAGCCACTTAATTAATAAATCACAATTTAATTTTCCTAAAAGAGCACTTTCTATTATTTCAGTCATATTCGTTTTTTCATAAAATTAGAAATAATTTTCGATCGATTTATGTAAAACATCGAAAAAAACAGAGGCTGCGCGCTAAACTTGTTCACAGAATATTTGTAGCAAAAAGTGACAATTAACTTATTACTGACAATTGACATTTTTGTCTAAAAATGACAGCTATCTTCACACATACACATAATAAAAAAAAAGAGATACGTAAAAGAGATAAGTAGTGAGAGTGATAATGAATTGAGCTTGAATAAATATTAGGATTTCTATTTCAAGTTGCATGGATGACATGAAAAATACAATAATAAATTGTTATGGATGCAAACAAAAATATACATTAAATTAGTAATTAAATAAAAGAGAACCAGTATGCACGGTGTAAATATTTGATATCGTTAGTGTACTAGAGGATACAAATTAGTCCTTGGAGTCCTTCTTCATGTCAATTAGTTAATGTATTAAAAAACAAAGCAGATGTATAAGTCACATTTAATTTACAAAAACGTAACGCATTAAATTACTTCTATTAAGCGTTTTAAAATCTAATAGGATCCTTTTCTTCGAAGCTATCTAGTTCGTATCTAGAAAATAATTGTGCAAGTTCTACTTTAAGTAATGCTTGTTTTTTCAATGAAAACTTCCGAAATGTCTGAGCATAGGACAAAAATAAGTATTGTATATCATCTAATGGCTCCGAACTGTTTCCTTGGATTGTATTGTGTGATAAATATTTTGTAGAAGAAACTGAATCTATAATTGGGGTCTCATTGTTTTGACAGTCATCAAATACTTCTGAATCACCTTCATAATTAAGTGTTTCTTCTTGAAAATCGAATTCCTCTAAAAACTGGACATTATTTTCTTCTATATTGCGTAAAACTTTCATGTGCGGTTCTAAGAATTCCAGATAGCTAGCCCATTTCCAATTTCGATATTGGTCATACGAGTTCAAGAATTTTTCACTTCTCGACTTTTTGTACTTGACAAAACATTCTTTCAAGCCTTTCCATCGATTTTTTTAGGTTGTTTTCTGTAAAATTTAAATAACATACGTAACATAAGCATACAAGTATTTTATTTAAGTTATGGAATATTTCTGCTGATTTTTCAAATTTAGATTTAAGTACCCATTCATCTATATTATATTAATATATTTCTATCATTACCTATTCAAGCTATGCCTAAACGGTGGGTTTGTTAAAGTTTATTAACTTTTACAGTGACTTATATACGTTTTTCAAATGAAATTTTGCCTTTTCTTTATATTTACATGAATAGGTATATTAGTTAAAACTAATGTTATTCTTTCGTAAAAACTCTCTCGAAAAATATCTTAAATAGTAGATATCCCAAAGAATAAAACCTAGATACGACATTTTTATTTATAACACCATTGTTAGGTACCATTGTCACCAAGTTTGGAAGCGATTTTTAGCCAAGCTTCATGCTTTTCTGAATTCTTGTTGCCTCCCGTTTCATACCGAGAGTCATACAGTATTGGTCTTTTCTTTATTTCTTCAATTAAGGCTAAGGTTAACTTTTCTGACATTATACAATGCTAAGAAACACATAAATTCTGTAGAGCGATATCAATATCACCGTATACAGAAAATAAGCGCCACGATTATTGCCTCGATAAAATAGTACTAAGTAGTAAGTACTGCCAACTGCTACCAACTAAAGCTGCCAACTTATTTTCTTGTCAAATCCGTTTTGTATTGTTGACAATTGACTGTTGAGCGGTGCTTGCTGGGCACTAGCAATACCGCAAGACGAATATTGTTTTGATTTAGAGATTAACATATTATTAAAGTTTGAAATTACGATTCAATTACATGAATTGTATTACTAATTGCAAGTTGGGCATAAATAAAACACGGTTAAGTTAAAAATGTCCGAAATCTGGAATACGAGCGGTATATGTCGTTGCTGCCATTCCCAAAGCAGTTTAAGAGGCTTAAGCGAACAGTGTAATTATGATGAGAGTGGTGACTCTTACTACAATAAGTTGGAACGAACTTTTAATTTAACAGTACGTTATGACGTTAAAACCAATGCGATAGCACAATCCTACTTTTTTTGTAAAACTTCAAACTCTCAAGTTATTTGTTGGTTTGTTGTAGATGTGTTTCTAATATTAACAAAACTATTATATGTTCTAGCTCAATCCAGTACTTGAAAGTTTTAAATGCTATTATAGTATTTGTGATACATGTATACCAAGACTTAAGGATGCTGAACTATTTAGGCATCAAATTTTGGAATGTGAAAATCAATTTGTCCAATATTATAATGATTACTTATTACAAGGTAAGATTAGATATATGGCTAAATATATATGAGGCTGCAAGAGGCAGAGTGGCCTAATAACAAATGACATGATTTTTAATAAAGAGGAAAATAGAAATGCCCAATTAACTGAAGCGAAAATAAATGATTACTTATAATTACTGTTATTTGTGTAAGAAATTTGATTACATTTTTCTGTGCTCTTGTAGGTTAACAGTTTTAGTCTATAAAAATATAAATATGTCAATTCATAAAATTCCAGTTAGGCTGCTCTGCCTCTTACGGCCTTATATTATCCCATGTATTTTTTCTTATAAATTATATTTATTATATAGTTTTTCTTATAAAGTAAAGAATGAAAAAGTTTTTAGAGAGCCCATTTAAAAGATAATGTTATGTTATTATTTCTTGATATAAAACTCTAGCCTTTTTTTTAATTATGTATTTGTCACGTAAGAGTAATTGAAATAATTATATTTTCCAGAAACGAAACAAGAGGTATGTGATGAAAATAACTCTTTAAATTCTATTATAGAAGGTGAGTTTACATTTTTAGATGATTTATATTTAATCCACATATAGCCACACCCAAATATTTTTTAATTACGGGTTTATTACAAAGGGCATGCATATTGTGTCTCATTTAAACCAAATTTTATACTATTAGTTATTTATTACATGTACTTTTTTAAGTTATACATTAATGACAACAAAATGAAAATCTTGCAGATGACAAGCTATCATTCGACAATGTGTTCTCAGAGGATTTAGATGATCAGCCATTATCAAGTTTGAAGAGCCAAGAATCTAAACCAGATGCAGATTGGGTTTTGCCTGTTTTAGAAAATGGTATGTTATTTTAATTTTCTATTGGTGACACCGATAGATTGCCGAGTGATCAGTCGACGCAATTTGCCGACCATTTCACCCATTTGCCCATTGAGCTCTGCAAAGTTGAGATGTTACTTACTTTTGTTGTTTTTATTCATGTTTTATTAATTCATAAATTTTTAGTCATTTTGGACAAATCAATGACACATATACTATTATACCTACTACATATTAAAATATTATGCCTTCATATATTATTTTCTTCCCTCATTGTGGCTCATCCCTTTAAAAAATTGGCGTCATGCTTTTATTCCAGATACAAAACCACAGCAGAGAAGGAAGAAATATTCTTGTGAAATATGCCAAAAGAAATTCACATACCATGGTTCTCTAGAAATGCATATACAGACACATAAGTTTGAAAAAACGCACCACTGTCTCTTATGTAGTGAAACTTTTAAGCAGAATAAGGACTTGATTAAGCACATACAGGACATCCATAAAACAAATAACGGTTATTCATGTCTGCTTTGCCAAAATCACTTTGACAATGCGAGATTATTAAAAAAACACTTCTCAGTGCACTTAGATAAATTTAAATGTGATTTCTGCGCGAAGGAATTTTCTAAAAAGAAAGGCTTGAAGGAACATTTGAAAGTGCATACGAGAGAGAAGAAGTTCTCATGTGATATCTGTCAGAAGAGCTTTGGACACAATCAGACGCTAAAGTCTCATATACTAACACATACAGGTGTGTATCATAATTGTTAAAATTTAGTTAGAAGTCTATAACTGACAATTTAATTGTATGGTTATACATAGCATTGTGTTAAAGTATATACTGTTTCTGTTATGTGCTTGCATTAAAAATATCTTTGAAATTGTTTGACATAGAAAAAATTAAGGATATCCATATGGTAAACGAAGATGGTGTTTTTATTGTTGTCTAGCTTCAAATGACTATATTCTGTAATTTACTGTTTTTTTTGTGCCACTGTTGATTTGCCCTTTCTACATTATTTTTTTTCTATTTTCAGGAGAACGCCCCTACGTCTGCGATATTTGCGGTCGCCGATTCCCCCAAAGGACCCATTTGAGACGCCACATTCACATCATTCACGCGGGAAACAAACCTCACACCTGCCTCTCTTGCAACAAGCAGTTTTCCAGCAAGAGCTACTTGCTGATACACCAACGGCAACACACGGGCGAGAAGCCGTACACGTGCGACGTGTGTCAGAAAAACTTCAGGGCTTACACAACGCTGAAAGTGCACATGCGCATACACACCGGTTTCAAGCCGTATCTGTGCACGTTCTGCGATAGGCAGTTCGCGCAAATGGCGAGCTTTAAACTCCACGAGCGAACGCACACGGGCGAACGGCCGTACATTTGTAAAGTTTGCAAGAAGTCCTTCTCTGACAATGGTTATTTGAAGATCCACATGCGAATACACACGGGCGACAAACCGTTCGACTGCGAGGTCTGCAAGCGCTCGTTCCGGGAGACGGGGCAGTTGAAACGGCATATGCGGGTACATACGGGCATCAAACCGTATACATGCAAGATATGCAATAAGCAAATCGGCAATTTGTCCAAGCATATGCGGGTGCATTCGGACGAGAAGCCGTACAACTGTAATTATTGCGACAAACAGTTTTCAATTAATGGCAACCTGAAGATACATTTGAGGGTCCACACCGGCTCGAAGCCGTTCGGTTGTGATCAATGCAACTCCCATTTCTCGCAGAGCAGCGGCTTGAAAAGGCACAAGTGTAAGAGTGATGGATAATTATATTTTTATAAAGTACTTGGTTTTTTATTATCTGACTAACGATTGAATTGAAACGTGAACTTGGTAATATTATACAGTACGACATCCACATATAGAGACAGACGAATATTGTCGCGGATATTTTGTTTAGATCTTTTAAAGAGGAATAATTACTTCATACATATTTTTGGGTATTATATATATTGTATAGTTTTCGCAGCGCACACAACGGAAACCAAAGATTAATAAATTGTTCCACACTTCCCACTATTTCTTCGCTCCTATTTGTCGTAGCGTATCGATTTATTGCCTGAAGCCTTCTTCGATTATTCAATTCAAACCAGTAGTTCCTTTTTTTTATTTATTAGCGCGTCGAAACAAACAAACTCTTCAGCTTTATAATATTACTATATTTGAGAGAAATTAATTTGTAACTAAGTACCTAACCTTACATAATTGTTGAGTTTGAAAAATATTTCTCAACTAAATACAAATAGAATGCGAACGGTCTATGAAGACCGAAGAAGCTGCATTTCACATGGTGAAGAATTAACTGTTATTACAAAATCATTTAGATCGCGCGATTTTCAGTCCTATTATTACGTCGGTAAAGTTGACACGCTTTCCCAATTAAATAATGTGGCGATTAATAAGGCTCGGCGGATACTAAACCGTGTCCGCTTTAAGTCATCAAAATTAGGCGATTATACATTTATTCAATTTTTAAATGAATGAACATCACAATATAAAACTGTCAAATTCAGTTTCGAACTATTCGGACGAAATATTTCCTCGTATTCAAAGAATATTTTATGTAGGCGCTCGTTTTTAGTAAACTTTTCAATGAAAACTTAATTTCTGAAAGAAAAGGGGATGGTTAATGTTAATGGTCCTTTTGTATGTCAACAACAGTTGACATATAAAAAAATTACGAGTCTATTAAGAAAGTGATTTTATTTTACTACGGAATAATTAACTTTATGTCTCTTTCTTGCTTTTAGAAAAAATTTCAAACCTTCGAAAGGAACGAATGCATTTTGTATTTTCAATCATAAATGGCTCGCTGACTCTCGCATAAAGAAAACTATTACGGCGCCTTTGTTTAGACTTTAGAGCGTCCGTTGTACGCTGTTCCTCGGATTGGAAAGTGGTCAACTATTTAGTATGAACCGCGACGTTTACCTCGTCGCTTGTACCAAGGAGGTCTTAATCTTACATCGAACCGACCGATTTAAAAAAAACAACGCACTATTCTGTGGCGGGAACATTTGACAGTTGTCAAATTTGTCGTGAATATTGCGGTTCGTGTTGAAAATTGTGTTGTGTTCAGTTTAAGTGATCGCGCTGAAAATTACTAATTTGCAGACTCGACGCTTAGGTAAGTTTTATAGACACCATGTAGGCACGCGAAAATGCAACCATATGTGACCTTAATTTATGTTCGGTCGAGCTACACCTCTCCTGCCCACCACTGCTCGTGAGAGGATGTGGAAAATTTTACTTCTCGACTCCCGATGATGGGAAAATGTTACTTATGTAAGAAGCAATCTAATCTATAATCACTTTCTTGACTAACATTAGTTTAGGAACAGTTACATGTCGAAATTTTAGAAATATAAAACCTGTCTGCCCGTTATACCTAATTGTTGAATATGTTAAATTACAATTATACCACTTATCAAGAACTTGATTAATTGGCATAATGGATTTACTTTAAAAAGCCATTTTTGTATTTCACGCAATGGTGTTAATTACAATTAGCCAGTTTTTCGTGTTTAAATCATCCTGGTACAAAATATGTTACACAATTTATTAATGTAAATACTATATCTAGTTAAGTTAAAGAACGATAAAAATTTGCAAGTTGTTATAATTTTAACTACAATTGTTTTTATTTTGACAATTTAATTAGATGCGGAATCAATTGACGTCTAATAACGCGTCTATCTTTTTTAAGTGTGTCGCTTGACCATTACTATTATAGAGACATGAATGCGTTTTATAATTTTTATTACACAGATAACAATATTGTAGGCAAATATTTTTTTCCTCAAAATATTTTATTTGTGGATTCAAGTCTGACCACAGTCACGATAAACGAAAACGTCCCTCTATCCAATTGGTGCATAGTTAAAGTTTAAAACAAATACAAACTTCTACCAACCTTATAAAACTAAAGCTGGCGTCGAACCTGAAATGGCGTTAGTTTTTGTTTTATTATAACTAAATTAGTTTTATTCTTTATTAAATCACAGTTAAACACATGTTACATATCGAAAGCAATTATCTCGGTAGTTGTCTATTACTTATAGGACTAGTATTTACAAGGTTAAACTTAGCGTTAACCTAGATTCCAGTTCGTAAAATCAGTTCACTGCGTCTTCGCAATTTCGACTCAATAGCGTTTTAGACTTTTTGCTAACAACGGAGTAGCTCTTTATCAATCTACGCAAGACTTACAAACTGTTAAGCCGGATCAACTTAGATTAAAAATATAGCTACAATAAATGTCTATTGGTGACTTTATTGTTAGTCTGGCTAGATTTTAGACCAATATTACATTACCTAAAGTTTTAGGTAGTAACTGGAATTAAACAACTTTATAGACTTGTCTTATATGGTAGAAACAGACGAAAGTAGAAGCATACTTTATCATATAAACTTTTGTCTGTTGTTGACGCGAGTAGTACACATGTAAATAAAATAAATTTAGACTTACTCTCTCAGTATGGCTACGCGTATGACAATGAAACCTTTAATTTTATGCACTGTGAAAGCAGTTATTACAATTTTAATGATATATGTATATATAAAAGCGTGGATATAGAAGTGATCGCGTGAACGTAGGTACGTCCGTCCGTTGACTCAGGATCCTAACGGGTTTAATAGAGCGTGAACGCTTATAAATTAATCATAAACGTTATAACTGGTTCAATGAAGAATATTTGCAATAGTGATACGTAGGATGCCGCTTCAGTGGAGGCACTGAAAACATAATTGCGATATGCAATTAGCCGGCCCTGTGCCATTTACCCTCGCTCCTACGTCGAAAAGGCGTAGCTCAACCGATCAATTGAAACATATAAATTAAGCTATTAGTGTAAGACTGAACCACCTTGGAAGGCAACTCAGTCTCTGATAGACGAGTATGATTACTTCTCTCTTCCGCTTTATTAATTTGCATTAAATGTATCACATATCGGGTATTTGTGTCGAACATATAAAACGTCAAAAAAATAAAACAACTTCATAATAACAATATTATATATATCTTTGCTGCACTTGTTTTGATTGCATTGAAAGCATAAAAGTCCTTTATAAATAAATTCATTGCAATCTGAACTCGTACTTAATTTTTTTATGTACCTACACATTCCGAAAAACATTGTCACCGTACAGAAGGCGCGTTGCAATTTTTCTGAAGCTTCTAGAGGATGTAGCTTCTACCTTCTACCGTATTTGATAGTCATCGACACTCTTAGAGAGAAGGCTCATAATAGGATTTGTAGGCCACAGTGTTAACACGAATATTTTTCCCCGCTATCTCGTCAATCTACTCGTTACGTGTACGTTACGTCCGTGTTACGTGGTCGTGTCGCAATGTAAATAATATTTAATAGGTACACTATTGCTAGCTTTGAATACGTACTCGTTAAGTTGAGGTGGAGGAGGTTCGGTTATGGATGGGCGAACGGGATTATAGGTTGACGGAGCCGCCATCGGAACCGAGGAAAAATGCTTAACAGCAAAGACCTTTTCGTGGCGCAAGCGTCTTCGGATTATAACTTATTCCTTAGCAACAATCTTAACCAAAGATCGATAGAATCATTTGTCTAGTGCTAGTGGTGAAATTTAAATATCTTACAAAGGCCGAATGTCCAAAGCCAAAATAGGCTGACAGCGCATTTTGTTTAGAGTAAGTGAACCCTGTCTGTTCCCCTCTCTATTTCAAAAAATGGAACAAACAAAAAGGCCCGAAAGGGAAGTCTTTGGTTCGATACCTAATAAAGAAAGCTCCATTTGGGCGACATTAAATGCTAAGTATTTATACTAGTAGAAGATCAATTCTGAATAAAGTAATAAAAGTGTCCGTCAGATTAGTAGAGAGTGAGAGTTTCTCTCTCTCACCCCTGATTAGCTGCATAATACTTTTGATTTTCAACGTGCGACAGTTCACCCCGTATATGGGGAAGCAGCCACGGCCGCACGAGTGACGGCTGTTGCAAGCAGCGGCCGATTCGTCCGCTCGTGTTGCAAGCGGCTCGAGTACTGACCTTCTGTTTCGAGTCGTTAAGTCAAATCACGCACTAACGCCGGAATGCTATCCGGCTGCTATTTTCTTCGTTTCAATGTGCTCGGCGCTCACTATACCTGTACTGTTTAAATACAAATGAGAGATAATATAGACTACATCTTTAAATCCTCTAGTATCAAACGCAGGCCCTAAGTAGGCCCACGACACAACTCGATTTATTACCAACACAAATAGTATTCAATAATTTTTCAGTTTAAACTAGTAGTTTCCGATATCAGGGCGTCTACACACACGCGTAGGGACACATTTTTATAATATTAGTATAGATACGTCATATTAAAATTGGAAGCTTTTAATTGGTGTAAGCCTTTTCTTTTTTAGCTTAAATAGTTTTTATAGAATTATCGAAGTTCGCTGTCGTTTGCATGAACGCGCTCGCGAGTTGGAATTGTAAAAATGCGACGCGAACCGGTTCCAAACGCTGTCTTTAGTAATCGCTGGCTTTGCAACCAGTCTCTCATTCGGGTTGCCAATTCAAAATGAGGTTATTCTATGTGATAACTCATAATTGACTACTAATCTCATAAAAAGTTGCGTATGCTAGTGTATTAGTTTCTAAGCGCCAAATGTTAGACCACAAAAGCCTCCCTAAGGATGATCTTGCCACACGATTAACTTTAAAAATGATAACGATCCGCCTTTGTCAAAGTCATGCTAAATTTATCATAATTTTAAAGTGTAGGTTCTCTCGTATATATCGTGT